TGAGGTGGTGACACCAAAACAAAAATGCAAATTTGAGTCACTTCCATAAAAGAATTCAGTTGATTACAAGAACAGGGTACCGCCTGTGAACAGAGCAGGGTGCCACAAGAGCTTGGTGCAGCCAGGCAGGCTGCCATAAGAGCATTGTGCAACCAGAGCAGGCTGCCACAAGAGCATGGTGCAACCAGAGCAGGCTGCCACACGAGTATAGTGCAACCAGGGCAGGCTCCTAGTAGAGATGTTCGGTAGTCGGTTCCATAGGAAGTTGCCAAAAGAACAGGGCTCACCAGAACAGGTAGTCACTAGACTCTTCAGGGTGCCACCAGAGTAGGTTACAAACAGAACAGGGTCCCAAATGAGCAGTCTTTAACCGGAGTAGGCCTCCACCGGAGCAGGCTCCCACCACAGCAGGCTTCTACCAGAGCAGGGTTTTGAATCTATCCCAATCCTCTCATTAAGCCTAAAAACATTTATCACGATCTGTCTTTCTGTGGCTTCGTGGGAGAAAAGCTTTTCAAAAATGAAACTAATAACTATTAACGATCGACCATGGAACAGTCCAGAATTTCTGTTCTCGTGATATTTTGTCACTTGAATGTGATGGCGTGAAAAAAAAAATGATTTGGAAGATGTGATTTCCAAGTTTGCAACTTTGAAGATATTTTTTTTTTTTAATTACATAGTAAATATTCATTTTCAGCACTTAGACACAAACATCCTCACAAAGACAAAAAAAACAATTTAAACACAAGTGATCTAAAGTATTCTCGGGCGCAAAAATCAGCCGTCATCACATGTCATTAAACTAAAGTCCCTTTGTGACGATATTGACTTTAAGAGTGATTATTTAGATTTTTTAACAGCAAGGGTGGGCGGGGGGGGGGGCGCACGCTGGTAAATTCTGATACATTGGGGAACAAATTAATTTGTATATCTCTTCAGCCCTAACTTTGAGGGAAAGAACTTGCATGATCAAGCTGATTTTAGAAATCTGTGTTGAAGAGGGTGAGATGTATCTTCCCAATTTTTTTAGTTTTGCATTACAAATGCATATTGCATCAAATAGTTCTTCAAACGATGGTATTTTTTTGAGCGATATTACTTGGTTCTTTATAAGTTCATTTAATCTGTGTTTGATGAAAAGCGATCCATTCCCACACCAGTTGGTAATACTTTCTCTGAGCATGGACTCACTTCTCACTGAGTGGGAATCTGGGAATATCTTGAAATACCGGTAACATCTTATTTTATTTTGAAAATGAACTTAAAAAAAAAAAAAACTTTCACAGTGTGATCTTTGAACTTTAAAACTCGTTTAAATATTGGCCTATAACAAAGTCTTTCAAGTCTATGGTTATGCCAACAAATTACTCTTCTTTTTACCAACATTGGCCTACGATAGAACATTTTTAATGCCTATTAGATAAAAGAGCTCCATTGCCATGGCTTACAAAAAAGAATGATAATAATTAAGATGCTGATCTATTTACCAGCTCGTTACGTCATATAATAATTGCCGATCACTAATTTATTCTCTTTTTTTATGATTGGCTCAATGTTTTGTTCTTTGTATACTGCATTTCTACTTTTTTTTTTTTTTTAAACTTTTGCAATTTCAAGTGATTGATTGGGTTTCGTTTTAATTGCCGATCACTAATTTATTCTCTTTTTTTATGATTGGCTCAATGTTTTGTTCTTTGTATACTGCATTTCTACTTTTTTTTTTTTTTAAACTTCTGCCATTTCACGTGATTGAATGAGTTTCGTTTCCTTGAGCAATTCCCTTCCGTAAACACTAACATCATGGACCACTTGTAAATGAAGCCAGTGGACTCGGTACAAGTCTGCTGGACACGACATGACCAGGTTACTGAAAAGTGATGTCAAGTGTCAACAAATCAATTGTTTGTGATTGGGTGACGATATGTTCTATAGCTATATCTTGATGTGTACTAAATGAATCCAGAGGACTCAGTACAAGTCTACTCCATTTGGCCAGGTTAATGAAAGTAATGTCGTGTGTACAGGGCCGTCTTAACAACATAGGAGGCCCTGAGCACAGCAAAGCACAAGGCCCCCCTAGCAACACAACACACCTAGGCCGTGAGAAGGGGGCGAAGGGGGGCACTCGTCCCATGCTCAAACAATTTGGGGGTGAGGGGGGCAAACAGTTCCTGCTCCCCACCAACTCAAAGATGTAAAATAAAAATAAACATTCAATAAAGTTAATTCTTCAATGAATTCAATTTATTGATTTTAAAAAAAAATTAAAAATTCAAAATTCAAAATAATTTTAAAACATTAGCAGAAATAAACTATGAATGATCACAGAGGATGATAAATTATCATTATTGACAGATGGATAGACTAAAAAATAAATTATTTAATATAAATCAACATAATTGTTTGCCTATTATTCATTAACAACACGTAAAGCATGGCGCCTCTATGAGAATGAGTCTCCTAGAAACGTGGGGCTCCCCGACAAGCGCGGGGCCCTGGACTCAGTGCCCACTGGGCCCATGCCTTAAGACGGCACTGCGTGTGTTAACAAATGAACTGTTTGTGATGGTTCGACTATTTGTTTCTACAGCTGTATCGATGTGTGGTGTAGTGAATGAATCCAATGGACTCGGTGCAAGTCTCCACTAGACCACTTGGCCAGGTTAATGAAAGGGATGTCAAGTGTTAACCAACAGGGTGTTTTGTTGGTTTGTTTATTTTTATTTGCGTGTGTGTGTGATGAGTCTCCTATCTTTGCTCTGTGAATTTTGACGTGTGTTACGTTAAATGGGTGTGTTGCCTGTGGCGGGCCAGGGGGGAGCAAGCGCGTGTTTACGTACATTGAGATTTTGTGGTGAAGTCACGTACGATAACCCATGATGATGTTGTTGTTTTTTTTTTTAAATAATAAGTAGGCCTATCTAGACATTTATTAGCAGACTTTTGTTGTATGGCATCATCCTGACTTTAAAAAAACAAAACACACCAAAAAAAAAAAGTTCAATAAAAGCGAGATGTGACCTGACTTAAAATACGTGTGTCACGTGCATTTTGCTTGGACGGGTAGCCTATAATTTATAACAGTCTCACGTCTGATATCATATATTATCACATACCATCTCTCTCTCCATTATTTATGTCGTAAACTATAGCTCAGTGATGACTCTAACGTCTAACGTAAGCTCTGACACAATCGCGAGCTCAGCTCGCTAAACCAAAGATTTCAAACGAATTATACGAATGGCGTAAACCTGTAAGAGACTACATGGAAATGACGTTATTAAACAAAATGGTTTTGAAGCTTTTAGAGAATAAATATACCAAAATGTTGTTTTTATTATCCGACACTACGGAAGTTGTGAAGTTCTAAAAGAAAATACCAAACTGGCATTCAAAAACATTTGTATTAAACGTCAAATCTTAGCCTGCAACTATCCATAGAATACTGATGACAAATAACACCACAGGCATCACCAATGAAATTAAGGTCGGGGAGGAAAGACTAGAGACTGTAGGCCGCTTCAAATACCTAGGGGCAATAGTCTCAGAAGAAGGCCCCAGCCTGAACTGATGTCCAGGATTGCGCAGACCACAACAGCACTAAAGAGGCTCAAGAAAATATGGAATGACAAAAATATAGCCCCCAGCACCAAAATCAGGCTGATGCGCTTATTAGTCCTCTCCATTTTCCTGTATGCCTGCGAATCCTGGACATTAACAGCAGATCTTGAAAGGGAAAAAAGGCAATGTAGATGAGATGCTTTAGAAGCATTTTTGGCATCTGCTATAGGGACCATATCTCCAATGATACAGTGAAAGAAAAGGTTCGCCAGGCAATTGGGGAGTAGGATGACCTACTGGTGACTGTGAAAAAACGTAAACTACAATGGTACGGCCACGTAACAAGGAAATAAGGGCTTGCCAAAGAAATATTGCAGGGCACCACAAGAGGAAGGAGAAGAAGAGGAAGACAGAGAAAAAGATGGGAGGATAACATCAAAGAGTGGACAGGACTAACACTGGACTAATGAATTAGTTTTCAATGGGATAGAGTCACATGTTTAAAAAAAAAAAAGTTTACTTCTTTGATTTTAAGAGCATAAAATTGGCATAAAATAAAAGAGAAACAGGAAGTAACGCTTCAGAGAGTATAAAAATACTTACTTAAAATAGTAATAATATTAAACAGAATGGCATATAAATATTATGAAAAGATAACACACATATTTGGATATTTCATTCTTTTAATTTAAAAACATATCACAATCCATTCAATAATGACAAGTTAGTGAGACTGTTTTCATTAAAAAGATAATGGAAAATTAATGAACTGTGAAACATATATGCTTGTATAAGTATAACAAAATTTTTTTTTTAAAGTAGTTTTTTTTAAAAAACATTCACATTATTGAGTCTTTGTATAAAGTTTCAGATAAAAAAATGAGTAAATGTTTTGTATAAATTTTATCAAAATCTTGATATCATTGTGTAGCGTTTCAGATATTTTTACAGTGTTTGCTTGAAGTTGCTATAATCCAATTTCATAATTCTGATCAAAATTTCGGCTTGACATGTCAAGACCATAAAAATATAATATCTAAACTTACCTAAATTAGTCTTTGTTACTCGCTTACATGTGTGAAAATGATTGGAAATGGTGGGCTACAGATTTAACCATACCACAGCATATGTATGTCTATACGTATTGTGTGAATCAACTATTAACCAAACAATTTACATATGAAGAGATTGTTTTCAGATAATGAATTTCTTGGTTTAAAAAAAAAATTTTAAACTGTTAATTTTTGTTTTCGAAACAACTTTGAACTTGCACATTATGACACACCACTGTTGAGAGATGTGCATTAAAATGTGTAATTTTTTTAGCTCTTAACATTCCATCTTAACTGGCCATTCAAACTGAAGCAAAGGCAGAAATATAAATAAGCAAAATGTTCATTTTTATTTTTTTTTTAAAAAGGGGGGGGGGGGGGGGGCTGTTGGAAAGAAATGAAATTTAAGTGATATAACATAAAGCCATGAACAGATTATCCTATGGAGATTTTTTTTCAGTTGAATCCAAATCTTGCAGCCCCGGCAATACACAACAAAAATACATCTGCTCACTCTGGTTGAAAGATTTTATTGCAATTATAGAATTGTTAAATTCTTTCATTAGCCCATCAATATTGCCAATATGGTGAGTGAATTCAGGTCATACAGTGAGTGAATTCAGGTCATACAGTGAGTGAATTCATGTAACACAGTGAGTGAATTCAGGTGGCATTACAGCAACATGTGCTACTTGTTAACCCACACACACACAAAGAAGTATAATTTAAGTCTAATACTTTAAAGGGCCTGCTGAACTCTGACCCGATGATGCCCACAAGTCACACAGGCAAGTCACCATAGCTAGTAGTTAAATCAATAGATAATTTCATGGAGAGACTCCTCAAAATAAGTCTTGTACATTCCTGCATTTGATGTGGAAACACCCAGCCACAGATAAATGAAAAGTTCAAATGATGCCAATACCTGATAAATCATTATTTCCTTTATCAGCAAGATTTGGCACCTGGAAAATGTATCATTGGAAATAATGATTAAAAGTTTAATTCATTAATAATAATAATAGATGACTCTCTACTTGACCCAATTCTTGGTCCCCAAATGACCTCCCAGGTACAGCCTTTTTTGTTTTCTAATTTAAAAATGAAAACCAATTTACATTTTTTTTTAAAAACAGATTTGAACTAATCTTTATACATCTAGGCTACTGACTTAAGCCTCTTTGCGAACCTCCATAGTTCTCCCTTAATCACACTAATAATAATTTATCCCAAAAGCTTATTAGTGAAATAAAATGTAAGCTGCTGATGAAAAATTGCAAACAATCCACTGGTTATTTAGCAACAGCTTCTTTTCTAATAGTGTTCTTCCTCTTCATCTTGATCAACTGCTCTGCCTCTAGCCTCTTCTGCTCATCCTCTGCAGCTCTTCTCTGAATTTCTCCAACTTCAATGAGAAACTGCACAAGGAAAATAAAATGTAAAAATATCTGCAACTCTCAAGTGTCAATGGTGATAGTAGGCATAGACAATAGGCTATAGCATCAGATTTTTAAAAAAATTTTAGTTGGGCATTCAACAAACGAGCTGCACAATTTTACATAAAAAATTGATAATAAGTACTAAGGCCCATAATAATAGATGCAGAGTTATTCAGTGAAGATACATATGTGACTTCTATCAGCCAGGAGTTAATTGTTATAATTTTTTAGATTTCTAGATTTATGATTAAAACAACCCTAGAACTTTTACTCATTGCTGACAATGTCTAAGAAACCAGTTCTTGTTATGTGTGTGTTAAAAGTGCTATTTGTTTTTATAAAGCTATCATTTTTATTTCTTTATTTCCCACTTTTCAGGTTAATGTAACACCTTATTATTTGAGTTACCTCAGGTTTTCTGGTGTTTTTCCGTTGGATAAATTCCCCAAAAGCCTTAGAGGCGTGCATATAGGCCAGCTCAATGTTCTGTGGACATTTTCATAACATTTTTATGCTTTTAATATTAATGTGATTAATTTTTTTTTCCATTTATTATCTAAGAAAATTATTGAGTTGTGTCTCATTCATGAGTTTATAATTATAATGAAGCTAACTGCATTATTTCAAAATAATTTTTTATTAGATTCCATTCTATTTACCACATTTTTTTTTTATAATTAACTTTCATGTTTTTCTTGTTTTCAAACTGGCAACATATTCCCCACTTTAAGCTACATAAATCCCTATGACACATCATACATTTAAATATATTCTTGATTTTGTCAATAGGATATTCAGCTAAGCTTAGACATCCAACAGCAGACGATCAGCTGAAAGATTATGTGGTCTCAACCTCTGCTTTTGTAAATAGCTTTCCTAAGACCTTTTTTTTTTTTGGCTTCTTCTTGTCTCCATGGCGCAGCCCCTCCAGCTTTTGATCTCCAACTAATCTTCTTAATATTGTTTTGATTTATAAATAGAACACTGATACTTAAAAAAGTTCTCTCAATGTCAGAGAGACCATTACAAAGTAGCACATCAAAACCTTGACAGGTCTTGTTGTGTATGTTCTTTTGGATGACAAGTTTTTGGACAGCATAAATTTTAATAAAGTTCTGCCTTGTCCTTAAACTGAAACAAAATGTAAGACAAATTCTTTGATTTTTAGAAATTTTAGCAAGCTCCCCTGCACATTTCAACCCACCCCCTGAACAAAACAAAAGTTAAAGTATCTCCATAATTATCCAGACTTCTCTTGTGCCCCCTCCCCTGTGCCCCCTCCCCCCAGTGCCCCCCACCACAAAAACTAGACTTATGTGGGCTTGAGAAACACTTCTAACCAATCTGAACAGATGAACTTAAGTATTTTTACACAAATTTATCACAAGGCTAAGATTTAAAAAATAGCATGTTTGTGTCGACCTAATTTGGCCATTGTTTTTCAGATTGTTTGTGCACTCAGTCTCACAGCAGGTAGGGCAGTGCTATGTCCTTGACCTTACCAGTTCATTGCTCTTCTTCTTAGCCTCTGACAGCTCATATTCTTTCAGTTGTTTGGGATCTTCTAATGGCTCATTGTAATTCATTTTCCTCCATGTCCTGGTAGGAAGATACCAAGCCCCGTATCTAAACTTTACCCAACTTGGCTCATAATCTCCTGATATTTTCTGTAAGAAAGTAGAAGACAATGTTTAAAAGTACCACACCAATAGAGTGTGAGATACACAATAAGGAAAATCATTTTAAAATATTACAGCAGTATATATTGTTAGGGATCATTGTTATGGTATGTTTTACAAAAGCATTTGAATAAATGAAGGAGCTGAATAATTTTATTTTTTTTTAATTATGATTTTTCATTGTTTCCACTAATTCTTCTCTCTTCATTTTTCTCCTGGATACAACATCTAATTTAATCAAAGCAAACTGTATAATCTTTTTTCAGGACAAAAATATTAACAGAATGGGGAACAAATGATAGTGTGCATAAGAAGTTGGAATTTGATAACATTAGGCCCTTCAAGAAAAAAATTAATTTATAACAAACGCAATCCTTAACCCATAAGTTATAAGCAAGGGTAATGTTATTTCATGTAGCAGAGAGAACCTCAGTAAATTAAAATAAGTTTCCAATATTTTTTTGCAAAGTGAAGTTTTTAAATCTTCCATCTCTCACACAGACACCAAATCATTACTCCTTGAAACTTCAACAACCACTCAGAGTCCTGCTCCTTAATACTGAGGATGAACTGTTTACAAATGCATGATTAATTCATAAAACTGGACTTTGTTAATATTTCTAGCCTTGTAATAAATTTTGAGAAAATTGTTTTAACATAAACGTTACTTTTTTAGGTGCCGATAGAGCTGACAGCTTTTCCTCTGAGCCTGCCAAGGGGGGTGGCACAGCCGCAGACATTCTGAGCTCTTGTGGGACATTAGTCAACTCAACAACATGGATGGGGACAGAGAGGGCAGGCTTTGTTTCATATCTGGGGGAATTTTTAATACCACACAATTTTTAAACAAAATTATTGTATCTTATCTTCATCTAAAAAATTAGTTACAGATTGCTAAGAAAGTTACAGTGGGGAAAAAATCATTTCCCCTTTATGGTAAATTAAGTGATTTCAATGTCATCTATTTTTTATCTTTTTCGATAGAGAAATCCTGAAAGAGCTTATTTAAAAGTTTACATTGACTTGAAAGGGAATATTAAATAGAAGAAACAAACATTAAGACTTATTTTTTAATAGCACCCTTAATTTCTTCAAAATCTATTTTTAATGTTTTATTTGTCATTCAGGAAAAAACTAAGGAAAAAAACTGTTTCTGTTTAGGGATTAAAGAGCCATAAAATTGTACGGTCAGTTAACTGACATCATTGAGAGCCCATGACAAATTTATTTTTGATAGGATATAAGTTATAGACATTAGAGAAATAACTAAAAGAGTGTTATGGACAGAGGCGTAGCGTGGTGGGGGCAGGGGGGGGACAGATGTCCCCGGGTGCCAGCTAGTTAGGGGCGCCAAAATGTGCTTTGATATTATTTTATTGATGAAAATAATGGGTTTGAGAGTTGAAGAAAAGAAAAAGGGACGCTAAAAATGGATCTTGTCCCCGGGCGCCAAACACCATCGCTACGCCACTGGTTATTGACATAAAAATGAAGGTCACTATGCAATTCTAACAATATTATTTTAAGGCCAACAACCAACAAGGCCACATCCTGTATGTCACACTACAAGACAAATGACAGTGACCTACCCACTGGCAAACAGACTAGTTATGGTAGACTCTTCTATATTATTGGTTTCACCTCCTAGGTCTGCAACCCATTCACAGAATTCCTGAAACACAGTAAAAGATCATTTTTATTTTATTCTTCAGTACTCAATAATTAGTTACATGTAAACAATAAGAAGTGAAACAAACGAATATTTAGATAGTGACTTTATCTTTATGAAAGAAATATTTTTAAAAATCAAATAACAATTATAAAGAAATTATTCATATCAGTTGGAGATTGACATGGAAAATGGATTTTGTGACTGAAATCCTGCAAATTTCACCAATGATTTGATCAATTAAAAAAATTAAGAAAAGAGCATCAGTCAAAATGGATATTTATTGCTAAGCAAATATTCTACTGCTGACGTGTAAATATAATGCAATGTATCAGCTAGTAGCTTCAAATCTAAGTTATTGATTGGCCAGAAACTACATTTTCTGTCATTAGGTGCAAGGACAAATTTAAATATTTTAAATAGTTGAAAGCTGGCTTAATATTTCTGCAACTTGTACAATAATAACCGAGTCCTTTTGAACTAGATTTGTGACAGAAAAATCTACCTGGGTAACTTGTTTCATATGTTCCTCTTCAGAAAGGGTATTGGTCCAAGGTAGCTCTGTGTCTTTACCCTTTTTGCCATCTTTTTTACTTTCTTTAAGAGGCAACCATCTGTATAAATTTTTGGCAGCCAAGTTGTCCATATCCTTGAATCTGCAGTTTGAGACAAGAAAGTTCAGAAAGAAGGTTCACCGACTTAGGCTGTATCATTAACTGAAACACTTATTACAAAAATTATACAACACCACATACACATTGTTTTTTTTTTCTTCAAAATACCCTACTAGTATACTAGGGCTGCCAACTGGCCATACATTTACAGACAATTAAAAACTTATGCAAAATGATATGTCTGCAAAATTCTGTACAAACTTTAGAATTTTCATAAAAAATTACGCATTGTACAAAACACGCTTTTGTTGTGGGGAAAAAAAAAAAGATGTTCATCTTAGTGTTGGGATTTTTGTTTGGTTGCTTTCAACAAAATGATTATGAACAGAAGAAATTAAATGCTATTTAGAATGTTGTACTCTAAACTAACTCAAATGTGAAAAGTCTAATCAAGGGACAAGGAGAGAGAAAAAGTTTGTGAACCGCTGGTTTAGCGAAAGGTTATACCAAGGCCTGGATTAATGCCTTCGGGGCACTTGATACGGCCAAAAAAAGATTCCAAATCAATATATAGCAAAACTGCTTCTGATAAGCAGATGATGCAGCACAAAAATCTCTCAAGCCCACAGCCTTGGCCCATTGAGCTTCAGAGGCCCTGGGAATGTTGCCCATCGTATCCTACCTATAATCTGACCCTGGTTACCACTGACCAGTGCTTCTCAACAGGAGGCTTGGAACAAAGAAATGTATTTGCTGTGTTCAAATGAGATATGAACCATGATGTTTACAGTAAAATTCATTTACTTTCTATAGAAACTGCTCTCATCTACAGAGTTTGAGTGAGCACAAATATTTCACATTTCAAATAGTCTGCCGTCTTAAAAGGGTTCACAAATTTTGATGATCATATATTTTAAATCAGATATAATGCCATGAATTCCTGTTCCCTGTCATGGTCCCATAATAAGTGTGCACCCTAAGAGTAGCTCTATCAATGTAAAAAACAAAAAATAAGCAGATAAATTTTAAATTAGGCCTACATTAGATCAGTGTTTCCCAACTTTTTTTGTGATATGCCCCACCTAAGCTTTTCTAAAACTCGTATGCCCCCCATGTATCACATAAATAATTTTTAATATTCAAAAATGTGGTTGTTCACTGAAGAAACTTAAATGATGGGTTTTGGGAAGAAATCGCTGGGAAATTGGTGAGGAAACATAGGAAGCAATTTTCAAAACATTTAATGGAGAACTGAAACTGAAATTCAAGTACAAAATAATTTTAATGAATTTTTTTCTATATTATTTTAATTATTAGTAATTAGTGAGATGTTTGTGCTTGATTCTTGCTGCAAAGAGATTGTATGTTAGCTTCCAATTTTGTTAGCTTCAGTCATTTCGTTTATTCTTCTGCTAACAGTATTGTTACTGAGTGGCACAGCTTTCACGGCTTTGTCATCTTTTTACAAAACCACTTTAAGAAATGCTGATATTGATGGTTTGATTAAATTCTCTTCTATAGTATGATTTTTCCCAGATTTAGCAATCAGTAAGGAAATTTCATAACTCACCTCAAGAGTACGATTGACTGCGCAGTATGAGCTGTAAACAGAAACTTAAATGTTGCTCTTTTTCAAATTACAAGTTAAATCATATTTGATGGTTGGTTTTCAAATTCTAGACAGCTCATTTTCCAATTTCCCCCTAACCAATCAAATTGCCCTCCTGTGGGGCGTGGGCCCCGCCCCACGTTGGGAAACACTGCATTAGATTTAGATGGATTTAAATATATGACAAAAAGCTTTTGTAAAACTTACGATTGGTCATCTGATTTTGGCCTTGCAGCCTGATCAGATTCTGGAATGAAGGATGGATCCTCATGATCATCTAACTTTCCAAATAGTTCAAGGTCTTCATCTTGAATTTCATTTATATTGAACTGTGGGTCTAACAGATCCACAATATCTTCAAAAACCTTGAAATAACAAAGGAAGCAAGAGGTAATATTTCCTAAATATTTTGAAATGTGTTTCCAATATATAAATAATATTCAGATTCCGAAATATTTTTATTTATTTTCTGGAATATACAATTAGACTTGTCATTTGCATAATTAATAATATTAATCATTTCACAATGATTAAGTGGCAAAGCTATTTATTAGTTTAGGATATCAAATAGGAATTTTAAGTTAAACATCTTATTTATAATATGGCTTTAAAAAATAAACCATGTTTATATTGAGTCTTTTAAACACATAGTCTTGATACTATTGTTCTTATGATTGGAAGTTTTGGTCAATAAACCATGAGAAAACCAATTAGAAAACAACACAACATCAAAGAAATGTCTATAGAACAAACAAATAATAAAATAATAAACAAAATGAGATTTCCAAAGAATAAATATTACTAAATCTTAAATTTGAATAATCAAAATCACAAAAAGTTCAGCAAAAATATATCAACAATGTCCAAATTTTTTATCATATACTTTTTGCATTATATCCGGATTTTTTATGTAAGTATGTAAAGCTTGCAGTTTGGCTTTGAGAAAAGATTTGCGCTGAAAAACAATAATGTTTATAGCAAACCAAAAAATGAACTGATAAATTTTAAGTTATTTCAGTATCTGTGTGCTCTCATAGTTAGCCTCAAGTTATAATATTTCATCACTTTGTCCAGGGATGGTCATAAAGTATTGCATGCCATGCACTGAAAATTGTATGGGACATCTGTATTCGAACCTATTCTTCATGCATTGTTAATGGTACCCACATGTTGTGTTCTTTATTCAAAGTTTTTTTTAATGCTTTTCAAAAATATTAAAATGCAACAAAAAGCTGACCTTTAATTTTTTTTTTAAAGAAAACTCTGATGCTGTATATACTTTACCAATATATATCTATCTAATGATAAAACTAATGGAACGATTAAAGTAGATAACTAAGCACAATGTTAAAGATGATTTATGATATTGAAAAATTACTAGCTTACAAAACTATTTCTCAGGATAAATTTAGCCTTTTTGCATAGAATCATATAAAACGCAAATAAGTGGAACATTATCTATGTTGTTTTGTTTTTACTAAGCATATTTTTCTAAATTAAGTAGAATAAACGCAAGTAAATTTTATTATCTAGAGTAAAGAAACATCAGCATAATTTTAAAGGACAATTCCTCCATATTAACATGTAATTTTTAAATAAGTACATTACATTGAAATTTTCATTCTTATGAGAAAATATTTCTGTATACTAGTTTAAAAGCATCCTACTTTACAGATAAATTTTATTCCGAAAGGGCCTGATGTATCTTACCCAGAATATTTTTTTTAAAGTATTCAAGTCTTTAAGTTACCTCAGGTGGAACACTCTCCTCTAGGTGAGGAAAAAGTGCTAAGGGATGTTTGAGTAACCCTTGCTCCACCTGTTGAATATAATCTCTCCGTTGCTGCTGCTGTGGTGTCGATTTAGACATGTATGTCTGGAAACGACTCAGTCGGTTTTTTGAAGCCGGCTGTTTAACTGGATTTCTGTTTATAACATCACTGTTTATAACTGGAACTGAACCTCTTCCTGGCTGATTTCAAAAACAAAATTTTGAATTTTTGCAATGTAACATCCTTTTTATTGCAATAAAACAGGCTGAGTTCCCATTTAAAAGTTACATTTAATTTTATTAATATTTTTTTAACATTTGCATGAGTAATATTCTTTTGCTATTCAAATTTTACCAATATAATATATGTCAGTAATAAATTAATTTAATTCTATAATTTTATATTATGACATATTCAATAAAAGAATAAATATATAATTTTAAAATTCACAAATTAAAATACAATGTTAGTGGTTAATTATGAAAGCTGTCATTAAGATGGTTTTTTGGGTTTTTTTTTTGTTAAAATTGTCTAAATCAAAGTTTATGAAAATTTTGTAACAGTAGAGGGGAAAGGGATTAAAAGGAATTGGGGCAGCAAAAATAGTTTGACTTCATTTATGGATTTCCCTTTAACAACATTCTTGTTTTTTTTTAAAAGAAATTTCATGTTAATTGAAAAATAATATTTTTTTTTTTACCTTAATAAAATCACTCCCGTGAACAGGTGGAGGGAGACCATCTCTAAAGTCATCAAGGCCACCTTTTAAAAATATCCAGTTCTGGGTGTCATTTTTTCCAGTTTTCTCACCTGGTTTCAAGCTTTTGATATATTTTGTTTTCAGCCTCTCTTGGTACCTAAGATAATAAAAATACATTGTCATTGTCAAAGAGCTGAGCGACAATATACACAACTTTAGGAGAAAATTGTAGTAGTAGTAATAAAAGTAAATGTTCAGGCTTTAATATGAAAAATGATAAGGGGATGAAGTATTTTATTCATATTTTAAAAGGCTTAGGCCTCTGACATTTTAATGATTTTTTATTTTAAATTAGCAAATCATTCCACTGCTTTGGTCACTCTTTAATTTTAGACCTCTTTAAGTGTATCCAGAAATTAAAAAGAAACCAATTTGTATAAATACAATTTGTATGAAGAAATTTTGTTTGAGTGGAAGTTGTTCTGAACTGAAGTGTTCGCATGGGAGAAATGATAATGAAACCAAAAACACATAAATTTAAAACAACATTTGGGCTACATTTTCCAATTTCACACTTGAACCTCACCTTTAAAAAACATTTCTCAACAAAAAAATATCCGTCTAAAAAATTACACATGCATACACTTTCATTTGAACAACATTCCTATTCCTATGTACAAATTGATTTCATACCAATTTTTTTATTCCAATTTCTGATAACCATTTTTCTCCCTCTCTTTGAGGTCTTTGACTCAAAGTAAATTTGATGAAGCCTTATTAATAATTGCAAACTAGCCTTTAGAAAAATCATTTAACCCCGTTTTCCACTATAATCTATTACCATTTTTATTTTAAAATAATGTCTTATTAATTTTAAATGATACTCATGGATAATAAATAAATAATAAATAAATTTGGATGTAAATTAAATAAATTTAATAAATGCTTACCATTGCTGATGCTTTATTGGATTGTCCTTTTTTGTATTTACTAGAGCTAGATCATATTTCTTTTCAGCCATTTGTCATTTAAAAGTACTAAAACTTGAACAAAACAGGGAATAAGCTAACTAACATCCCAACTTGATCATGACATTATTGACATTTAAATTCCTAAAATTATAAAAGTAAACTAAACAGTTTTTTTGTTTGTTTTGTACTTGGCCAGTCAGTAAAAATTATTTAAAAAATAAAAAGCGGAAAAGATTTATATAAGGCCCTACTCTGGCTAAAGCCGATGGATAGGGCTGTCTTTAATTTATCATTTAATTCATGTATAGAATATTTATGATTTGGCCTGTTTAAACCAACAGTTCGCCATTTGTTTATTCGTAACCATTTCCGGCTAATGCTTTTCTTGCCCGATGAATGACAATCGATTTAATTGTTGGCATGCATATCATGACATTAAAAAATAAAATATTTTCGGACTTAAGTATTACGGATTCAGTTTGCAAACAACTTAAAAGAAATGAATCATGCTAAATACATAGGAAATAAATCTACGTTTCCATAGCAACAATAATATTTATTCTTTCCCTTATTAGAACTCTTTAATGTTACCATTAGATTTCCGGTTTGGCATGCGCAATTTCTTATACATTCCAAATCCAGGTGAAGAAACAAGTTACAAAGTGGAAGAGATATAAGAGAACACTCTAAAATAATTTAAATGGCTTCAAACATGAAGGTAGCTTAGTCAGAAAAATGTAACAGTTATAGTATAAACTTTGCTCCCTTTTCCAAACCCCCAGTAAGGACTTTGCGTTGAATTGATTGTAATTGTAAGGACCCCACCTTCTATTCTAAGTCTAAGCCTTCTTACACTGACACCTCTAAGCCGCTATAGGCTAAGCGGACTAAAACGTTTAAGACCAAGACTAATTAATTACTAACACCAGTGTTTTTACATATTTTACTGTGTCTTAGTTATCTGTCTGTGAAATCAGTGCCAGGCCCTAGTTTACTTAATTAACTAGTATTAATATTACTAGGGGTAACGACTACAACAATAGTTCAACTTGACGATCTTTTTTAACAAATCATGCACTTGTTTCTTGGTGTTGGCATGTTGGTAAAAGTCAATTTCATCATCATCTATGTTGTGTATCTTTCACCCCTTCATCATAAATGTGTTCCTATGACTATTTACTATTTGCTAACACTAATCCTATTGTTTTTGTTTCTTCCATTTTAGAGAATATTTAGTCTTCCAGACAGAGCTCATGGACCAGGTCATATTGTTTACTCTTGGCAAAGAACACTTGGGAATTTCCTTGCAACAACAGGGTATTTCTACAATTCAATTTAATTGATAATACAATATTATTATTATTATATGGATATATACTGCCTATTTATAGCCTTATATTATATACTATTATATAGGCGTACTATAATATTGTATAATAAATGCTGAAAGAATTTATTTTTGTTTTTTGAATTGAGGCCATTAATTTAATTACTGTTTCTAATTACTTTTTTCCCCTTTTTTTGTATTGTTAGCTGAAGAAGGCATCTATCCAAAACTTCCTTTTAACTATCCTGTCTTTTCATGTCAAGCCTAAACAAAAGCTTGTTCCACTATTTCAGTCCAAAAAGCCAGTTTTCTTAATATATAGTTTTATTTCCATGTATGTGCATTTTTATTATAGCTTTTTACATTTTTATTTAATGATATTTAAATTTAATAATGTCCACAATCCTTTCACTCATCATCACTCATACAGCACCCATATATTTCCTGATAAATATTACATCTCCCAGCCATGAATTTATGAACACGCATTTGAATTTTAATTAACTTGTTTTAATGTCAATTTTGAAAATGGTTTACTCCTTTACTCAAACAACAAAATCAGCTCTGACAGTACAGCTAAAATATTTGACCGCCATGGAGATCTAAGGGGGAATGTGACACTGCCAAGGTAAGTGTTAAAATAGTACTGAGTGCTTTCAAATACTTATCAAACTATCATTTTCTAACTTCGTCTTTATCTGTTAATCTACTGGCCATGCTTCAGAGAAACATTGCCATTGATGTGATCAATTATTCTAATGTGATTATTTTCAGCCGTTGTACTGGGATGGATTGGGACCAGGATGGGGATGTTCTTGCCCTGATTTGTGAAAACTCTCCTTTAATTTTTCTGTGGGATACAAATGCACAGAAGTTCAACACAATAGATAGTGGACTCAAGTAAGTATAGATGTGTCTCAAAGCATTGTGATAAAATAACATTGTCAGTTAAATTTCTCATTGCTATAATTCAAGGTTAAATTGTTTACTTTCCAAATTTTCATTATAAAATTGTTCACCCATTGTGTAATAAAACTGCTTTTCTTGTTATAACTTTTCAATTTTACTCTCTTTTTTGGAATACTTTTATTATTTATAAAAAGAAAACCTTGATACATTTTTATTTATTTTTTCTGACACCTTTCACAATTTCTTATAGAGATTCATTGTCATTTCTGCTGTGGTCAAAAACTGGGACTATCCTGGCAGTTGGAACCATCAAGGGAAATTTGCTCATATACAACCACCAAACATCTCGGTAAGTCAAGTTAATTATCCGTGTAAACTAAAACTGCTAATCTCTCAAGTACCTGCCTACAACAAGTGTGAGTAACTCATACAGCTGTCTGAATAGAAAATGGCTCATAATTTAATGGGCTAAGTATTTATCATTAAGTCTCTCATTTAAAGTAAAAATAGTTAAATATTACCTTCAGATCTTGAATCAACAATAAGAATGTTATATGAATATTTACAGTAAATTTGACATTTCCTAATTATATAAAAATATAGTTACTTTACAATTAATTGCTGCTTTATTGATATGCTTGTGTTTTATTCCATGCAGTAAATAATATTGTTTTAAATAAGAAAATAACACTTGATTCTAATCCTGCAGTTGTTTGTTTTGCATGCTCAGAAAAAATATCATTATTGGTAAACACACAAAGAAAATAACTTGTGGTGCTTGGAGTGCCCAGGGGTTACTGGCCCTGGGAAGTGAGGACAAAACTATAAGTGTTAATAACATTGATGGTGATACAGTTGCACAATCACAGCTTAGAGGAGAACCTTCCGACTTGGAGTTTTCTGAGATGAAAGAAGATGAACGAAGTCCCAATGGGGAAAATACAGTAAGTCATTATTAGATAATAAATAATATTGAGGTCTTTTTTTACAACTTGAAGATGAAAATGTAAAACGTTTGAAGAAAAAAAATATAGTGGGCACATTTGGTGGGTCGACAATTTGTTTTTATGTTTACCATCAGCTAAATGTTATGTAACTCTTATGGAGTAATTTAAAAATTGAATTTATTTATAACCTGTGTACATTTTTTTTAAAAATAGTCTGAAGTAGTAAATTTATTTTTTATATAAATGGATAGACTATTATCTATGGAAAATTTGATGTTACTAAATTCGCATACTGTTATTTAATTCATTCTAAAGTGCATATAGCATAATTACTTTGCAAATTACCAAACATACCATAATGTCTAAACCAATGAAACATGAAATGTTTCAATTATTTGTGACGATGTTTATTTTATTGGCCACTTATTTAAACATTTCAAAAAATGTATCCATAAACTCTTTTCGTACATCTTGTGTTCGCAGGTCAGTGTCAATGTGGCCAAAAAAACTTTATTTCTATTCAACATCAACAACCCAGAAAACCCAATAGAGCTGGCTTTTCAAGCCCGATACGGGTCTATTGTGGCTTACAAGTGGTAAGTTAAAAGTCCTATCTGAGTAGAGGCACGGCCAAGTCTGAACATTTTTTTTTTTATTTGTATATTCCGTTATAAAACATTTGTGAAAATTATGCAAGGAAGTGATATTTGTGTTGGTGGTAATTTTATTAACCGATTTCAGGTTTGGAGATGGTTACATCCTGATCGGATTCTCACAAGGTTACTTTGTGGTTATATCAACACACATGAAGGAAATAGGGCAGGTGAGTTGGTTTTGCTCTTACATGTTTGTGTTTGTTGAGGTATTCCTCTATACGGTGCCATTGTTTTGAAAATACTTGGTTTTCAAAACAAGAAGCAGAGTTATTGTACTTGATTGTTTAAACTGTGACTATGCTATATAATAGTAACAAGAATATGCTTTCTGACAACTCATCAGTTTTAAATTAATTTTTTTTTGTTTAAAAAGATTAGTTGCATCATCAGTTTTCATAATTGATAAATGTGCCAAGTAATATGTTAGATTTCATTTTAATTAAAATCATCAAAGGTTACATTTATTTCAATAAATCATTAAATGTTGGTTCCTCATCATGTAGGAATGCTTCCAAGCAAGGAACCACAAGAACAACCTGACAAGCATTGCAATATCTAATACCCTTGGCAAAGCTGCATCTTGTGGTGATAACTGGTAAGCCTTGTGATTAACATAGATGCCCTAACAATATAAGATTGTTGGAGTAAGCTTTTAAAATTGGTTCACCACTACATTTCAATTCAAACAAATGTTTTGCATTTATTTGTTTGCAACTAGAATCATGCATTCATTTTATTTATGTCTTTGTAAACACTGTTTTTAATGGAAAGGTAGTAAAAACATTTATTTTCAAGAACAAGGAGTGAATGTTTTCACATTCTTAGATGTTAATGGAAAAGCAGCAGGCTTGATTTTTTAAAATTATGAATCCCACACATTAAACTGGCTGATCTAACATCACCTCATTTTTGACATGTGTTCAGGAGACTGCAATTAATTTTAGAAATGCATTAGTTTAAATTTTTATGTCAATCTACAGTAAGGATTAATATTTTACCAATATCCATCTTTTTTGTTTCAATATAATTTTTAGTAAATAAATTTTTTAAATGTCCATGTATTTTATTTAAATTTCTGTACAGCCTTTCCAATGCAATTTATAACATTAAAGTGGAACACTGTCCTATCACCTGCCCCACCTCCCCCCCCCCCCCCCCCCCCCCCCCCCACCCCCCCCCGCCCCTACAGCATAAAGATTCATGACTTGTCTGACCTTAAAGAGATGTATGCCATCATCACACTGGATGAAGAGAAAAGCCTCGATAAGATTGCTTGGAGTGATGATGGTCAGTTGCTGGCGGTGTCAACTCCCCGTGGTGGCCTCCACGTCTACCTGGCCAGGCTTCCAATGCTGGCCTCCGTCAACCACACCCGAATTGCTTACCTGACATCCCTGCTGGAAGTAACCGTTGAAGACAACATAGCACAAGTATGCTGCCTGAGTTTGCCATTTTTAAACGGAACATTAATCCAGTGCAATATAGTCCCCAATATTGTATGGCTATATCTCAAGATTTTGAAACATTTTTCTGGATGATCCAAATCAACTTTTGAGAGGAAGGGTAGCTTAGTATCTAAAGTTTTTTAGCCATATGCCAAGATTTTGAAACATGTTTCTAGATGATCCAAATCAACTGTTTTGAGATGAAGGGTACATTTTCTTTATTAAATTAAACACTACATGAGCCACGAGTCAACGATGGATTACTGCTAAAATGTCAGGGTGGCACTCGTAAAATATGACCCAACCAAAGATGTGTTCAGATTAAGTCATTCAGTTGTTTTGTTGCTTTTTTTTTTGTATTTTTTTTTTTTTGGTAGTGGGGTAGTTTGTTAATTGAAATAAATTCACAAATGATAATATTTTAATTTTTTGAAATAAAGTAAAATATGACCCAACCAAAGATGTGTTCAGATTAAGTCATTCAGTTGTTTTGTTGCTTTTTTTTTGTATTTTTTTTTTTTTGGTAGTGGGGTAGTTTGTTAATTGAAATAAATTCACAAATGATAATATTTAAATATTTTGAAATAAAGGGAGATGATCTATATCAAAGTACCATGGATAACCATGTATTATTAAAACAAAATCTTGTGTCAAGAATGCTACAATCCTACTCTGTAAGCAATACTCTGCTTCTCAAGCAAACCACTTTTGGGTTTTTTAACTCCCCTGATGACATTTCTTACTTGATAGAAAATGTGTGTATCTTTCATTATTATGAGTTCAGATCAACTACAGGACCATTCAGATTAAGAAACTCATAAATTTTTTACTACTGACCTTTGGGGAGGGGAGAGGGGGTGTTGAAACAACATTTGTTATTGATTTTGGATCTTGTTATCTATGTTATCTTCTGTTCCTGTCAGGATGAACCAATGACAATTCAAGTAGAAGTGGAGCCATCATTTGTTGGGATTGGTCCTTACCATGTGGCTGTGGGAATGAACAACAGAGCCTGGTTTTACCTGTTTGGGGAGGCAGGTGAGGGGGTTGTCAGGCAGCAGAATACAATACAGATATCCCTTTTAATAATTGAACTAGAAAGACTCAACTTGTTAAATGAGTAATATTTCAGACCAAGTCTCTTGAGTTGTGTCAAAAAACTGAAGTTAAAGGTTTTTTTTAATGATACATTTATCTTTATCATTAACTTTCAAACTAAAATATATGTGCATCTTATAAAGACAAAGTAATACACATACATAATCTACTATTTGTTTAATGAAAAATTGCCACCAAAAAGTATGTGAATTTGATCTGTGGCATCATCATCTTTATTTCTCCTTCCTGGGGAAAAGAAATTAAGAATTTTAATTTTGATAAAGTTTTGAGTATTTCAGACAGGTTTATTTTGACTTTCAGGTCTTTCACTGATGAAAGAAAGTAAAGAATATTTAGGGACAGTCCAGTCATTGTGTTTGAATGCAGACTACGCAGCTGTCAGTTTCGAAGGGAAAGTTCAGCTTCACATTGTAATTGTGATCAGCTTTTTTATTCAATCTGTTTTAGCTTTCATTATACCAGAATTCTCTAAAAATTCATTTACTTACGATTAGTATACTTGTCTGTAAAGTCTAAGAGGGCTTATGGTTAACACCTATTGAATTAAATTAAAAGATTTCATATAGGATGTTTTCTCAATGTTTTATTGTTTTAGATTGAAGGTGAAGGGACCAGAGACAGTGATGAGAAAGATTCTAAACTTTTCCCAGACCCTGATCAGAAAAACTGTAAGATCACAGCGCATGCCATGACACCAGATTTCCTCATCTACGCCACAAATGTGAGACATCCTCAAGTTAAATTCTTTTTTTTTGTCTTTACACACAAGCATCCACAACCCATTGTTCTTTTAAAAAAAACAATGATTTAGGTGAGATCTTTTTATTCTTGAGTTAAATATTTCATAACCATTGGGCAGTTTATCTGAATTTCCCCAGAGTTGGCCAGGAATTTAGACATTGCGCTACCCCTTGAGAGCAAAAGTGCAGATGTATTTAGGTGTCCATTCCTCTGAACCACATTCACTTATGGTTGTATCAACAATACCCAGTCCTTTTAAAAGCTTCTCCAGTCTGACTGGCATGTTAAAATGATCTTAAATGGGGTCTTAGGTTGAAAAGGGTGGTCAATCGGTCTAAACTTACTCAATCCAAATAGCTGGTGGTCTGGAGTTCAATCCCCACCCAAGCACCCTGGGTGGATAGGACTTATTAGTCTTGGACGACAATTCATCGAAGAGAATGAAAACTCTGAATTCAAACCAGGAGCCAAAAGGATCAATAACTTGATAGTGTTCCCTCAAATATGAAACAAAATTTTTTTAATGGAACGGATATTTTTATTCAATGTCATAAACATCTTAAAAATAATTACATTGGGTGATCCATTCTTGAACCATACTTCACACTAAATATTTCTGTCAAGCTCTTAGTGGAATCATATTAGGAAGTGAGATGATATCAATGTAAGACTGTGTTCTATTCTGAATCTTCCACAGATAGGAGGAATTCATTACTTCTTTATTGAAGACTGGAGCTTTGTTGTTGAGCACCGCCACGTGACCGGCATTCGAAAGATATTCCCAGATTCAACCGGGGCCCATCTTGTGTTCCTAGATGAAAAAAGTGATGGGTACATTTACATCTCAGTGAGTTTAAACTGATTACCACCCCCCCCCCCCACCCCCTGATCAGATACATTTCTTAAAAATAGCAAAATACCTTTTTGCTTTGTTTTTGAAAAAAGTGATGGGTACATTTACATCTCAGTGAGTTTAAACCGATTACCACCCCCCCCCCCCCACCCCCTGATCAGATACATTTCTTAAAAATAGCAAAATACCTTTTTGCTTTGTTTAAGCTACAAGTCACTACTGTTATATACTAATTCAAGCTTGTTATATTCCATAATCTTTTAATTACTAATCATTTTTTTAATATTAATTTATTTTAGGCTGATGATACAGTCAGACATATTCCAGATTTCTCTCCAACAGTTCAAGGTGTACTGTGGGAAAACTGGCCACTAGATAAGGTGTGTGCTTAAGGACAGATTAATTTTTTTTTTTTTTCACTTCGCTAAATTACTGTAGTATATTAAGGTAATACCATCTTAGGCAAAAAAAAAAGATGACTATATTTGAGAACAACATATTAAAAATGATGATTTCTCCCACAGGGAGTGTTCATTGCTTATGATAATGAGAAGATGTACACTTATGTATACTGCCAAGATTCAGTGAAAGGTGAGGACCATTTACAGTTTAAAATAAATATTAAATTTGCAATGTAAGACTCGTGGGCTCTTTAACTTCTTCAAGTCAAATTTTTCTATATCACATAGACATGTATTTAAATATTTAATTCCAGGTATTGACCAGGTTTCTTTGCTATTTCTTTCCAGAACTTTCCAAATTTACGAAACTTAATTAAGTATTTGAAAGTCTTACCTTTTTAAAAAAATATTTTTAAAGCCAATTAGTTTTCTTCTAAACCTTCAGATTCATTATGGTTTATGGAGATTATGATGAAATTATTGTTTTTTGTTTTTTTTTATTTCATTGGTCTAATCATCCTCTTCCAGGCAGTCAAGTGACATTTGCAGGTGCCTCTAAACTGCCCTATGGTCAGATACCAATTCTTCTTTACAATGGAGATGTCACTTTACAAACACCAAGTGGCAAACTGGCAACTCTTCTCCTGGCTACTCATGGTCATGTGTTTAATGAAAATCCTACAGAGCTTCCACCAAATGATGTAATGTTTTAATACTGTTATAGTTTAATGGTTTTTTTTGTATACATATCAAAGTAGTTAAATCTGTATTTAACCTTTAAAAAATACGCTACCCTCTCCTCATATAAAAAAAAGGGAAATTGTATATTTGGGAATTAAACATGCTCTAAACTTTTGTTATACAATTCATGCCAGTATTTATGAGTTTTTTTATAATATGAAATGATGTGTCAAAGGTTAAAACAAACTGTATGAAAACTGAATGATTGTGCACAGCATAATATCTCCTTTCAAAACTGTACATTTCATTGATGCATGTTGTTTTCTCCAATAAAATTATTTTTTTTAAAACCTTTTTTTTTCTTTTTCATGAAGCTGAGAATAGCAGCCCAACAGTGTATTAAGTTGAAACGGTAAGTGAACCAACCACCACTAAATCACAAACATTATACAATTTATCTGCTAAAGGAATGCCATGTAAATCTTATTTCCATTGAAAGAATGTCTCATGGTCATTTTGTTATTTTTAAAATAATTTTGGGGTTGTTTTTGTTTTGGCTCTGTTCATGTGACAAGCACCAGAATTTAGTTCACCTTTCTTGATTTAATTTCTTCCAGTTTTAAAGATGCTTGGGTCTACTGCTCAGTCCTGAAGAAAGATGACTTGTGGAAGGAAGCTGGCAGAGCTGCTTTAGAAAGCATGGAACTGGACTTTGGTCAGTGCATTTCCCTAGGAATGATTTTTCCAGAACTTTTCTTATTTAAATTTATTTGCATATGTGTTAGTGTCAAGTGACTTGTGAGAAATATTGTATTTTTTTGTGGTGTTGTCGTGTGATGGGGAAAATAAAAGTGGGTTAGCTCTATATTCTTTGAATGTGCATAGCACCTGTTTTAAAATGATAAAAAATTTAAGACATTCACTAAATGATTTTTAATTCTTAAATTTTTTACATTTTTTAATAGCTTCTAGGATAAAAATCACAACTAAATTTGATAGGTATCTAAGAATATTGGTATTTTTTTCTTTCCTGATACCACTTAATCTTACACTTCAAATATAAAGAGAGCTCTTGAAAGTTGTTTATTTTTAATTGTGAGAGAATCATAGTATTCATATTATTTGTCTTATTTGATTCCTGCTGGCTGTTGTTTTTTCCAGCTATGAGAGTTTACAGACACATTGGTGATGTTGGGATGGTGTCTTCACTCCAGAAAATTAAAGTAAGCTAAACCAGCATAACATGAAGTTTAACGGCAAGCATTTGAAATTTTCAAATGGCAGTCAAATGACTGCTTACAGTTACTCAGTCAACTGCTTACAGTTATTCAATCAACTGCTTACAGTTACTCAGTCAACTGCTTACAGTTATTCAGTCAACTGCTTACAGTTACTCAGTAAACTGCTTACAATTATTCAGTCAACTGCTTACAGTTATTCAGTCTACTGCTTACAGTTACTCAGTTGACTGCTTACAGTTACTCAGTCAACTGCTTACAGTTACTCAGTCAACTGCTTACAGTTACTCAGTCAACTGCTGACAGTTATTCAGTCAACTCCTGACAGTTATTCAGCAAACTGCTGACAGTTACTCATATTTAAAAATAATTTTCTTGTCTTTTAATTTTTTACTTGTGTTATTTCCTTAACAAAAATTTTTTTATGAAGCCAACTTTTCCCAAACGTTTTAAGTTTGGAGGACCAGTGGACACGTTTGAAATTGCATCAGGGACCAGGTTTATTAATTACATTTTTTTTATTCGACCATAAAAATCAAGTTGTGTGGATGGCAATGTAATTCTGATGGACCGGTGCTAGTCCTCTGACCACCATTTGAGAAACACTGTTTTAAACAACATATTATGTTAAGGTTTTTCTTAGTGATTCTTCATTTGCATTTGTGTAATTAACTAAAATGGTTGTTTTTTATGGTAACAATATTATTGGAGATTCAACTTAAAATAATCTTTATTAAGAGAAAAAAATTAATGTGCAGTGTTCAGACAGACTCTAAAATGTCAGGTGTACAATTATGATCACTTCCACACAACCATCAGTCACATAGATTACTGCTGAGAGTCACACACATTGGATGCCACAACCACGCAAGGAAAGTAGTATCTTGGCATCTTCAGTTGGGATTAATTTTTTTCCCCACAGTCCACAGAGGACAAGAACCAGCTGTCAGGCTATATGGCCATGTTCCTGGGTGACTTCAACCTGGCCCAAGATTTGTTTCTTGCATCTCAGTACCCACTAGCAGCTCTAGAGGTCAGTAACACAGGTGTCATCACATTTACCTTTAATTTCATAAGCCGTGTTGACATAAAGGAAGACTTCATAGAGTTCCAATGCTCGAACTTATGGGAAATAATGAGCATCGAAATAAATGGCACTGGTGATTTTAAATCTTAAATTTGTTTAGTAAAGAAAGGTATTCAAAGAGTTAGATCTCAGTTTTCCCATTTTAACTTTATTCCCCACAAAGAAATTTCTGTAATACCCTTAATGAAAATCACTTTCAGAAAATCGCTTAATTTTATATCCAAGAACAGAAGTGGATGTGTCAAATGATTTGGTCTTTCGCTGTAATCTCAGTTTCAAAACCCCTGCATTAAAAAAGTGAAAGTAAAAGCAAATGCACCTGATTTGCTTGGTCTTCCCTCATCATCTGACACTGCCTACCATGCCCACAGGGAGTTCAGGCACCATGCCCCCAGGGAGTTCAGGCACCATGCACCCTGGGAGTTCAGGCACCATGCCCCCAGGGAGTTCAGGCACCATGCACCCTGGGAGTTCAGGCACCATGCCCACAGGGAGTTCAGGCACCATGCCCCCAGGGAGTTCAGGCACCATGCCCCCAGGGAGTTCAGGCACCATGCCCCCAGGGAGTTCAGGCACCCCTGTTAAAGAAACCCTGATTTCTACTGACTATTTATTTTTAAGACATGTGATAAAGTTTGATCCCAAAATACCTGAGAATTAAATCTTGCACTGCCCAACAGATGAGACGAGACCTGCTCCACTGGGACAGCGCCTTACAGCTGGCCAAGGCCCTGGCTCCAGAACAGATCCCATACATCTCTAGGGAATATGCTCAGCAGCTGGAGTTCACTGGGGACTACGCCAACGCGTTGTCTCATTATGAAAAAGGAATCACCAAACTGGAAGGGGAGAGAGATCATGATGAGATATGTGCTGCGGGCATTGCCCGCATGTCCATCAGAATTGGGGATATCAGACGGTGTGTTTTATTCATTTGGAATTTATTCTCAGCAATTGATTTAAATACGTTTCTTGGGTAACAAATATAAATCTAGCAATGTTATCTTTCATGAGTTAAGTTGTGTATCCATTCCATAAATGACATGAGACTGGAAGACTGAGGTTTATTCTTATTGAACCTCTCCCAAGTGGACAACTTGTGAGCCGTGAATTAAACATTGTTCACATTTTGTTTAACAAACCCAGGGGTGTTTCAATGGCCATGAAGATGCCAAGTAAAATCTTGAAGAAAGAATGCGCAGGAATCCTAGAAAGTATGAAGGTAAGATTAATTTTGTATATAATATTATTTTGTTAATCAGTGAAGCTTTATTCAAAATGAAGCTCTTTACCAACCTTATGACTAATGCTTGAAAATTATTTTATTTCAATTTTCAAAATAATTCACTTGAAAGTATTGGTAAGAGAGAAAGAAAGGAATAAAAAGATTGACAATCCAATATCTGTAGGAGTTTTGAACAATACTTTATATGGGATGTCAACAAACAAAAAAATGTCTTCATAGCACACTTCTTTTGATTAGAATTCTACACATCCTTTATACTAAACCTCATTTTGATAATATTATTTATGATAATAAAGTATCCATCTTTTATAGTTGTCTATTTGTTTTAGTAGTGATAATATATCTTTTATGCCTCATTAATTATATTAGTAATAATGCATTCTATTATTGAGCAATGGGCGGAGGCAGCCCAGCTGTATGAACAGGGACAGTACTATGATAAGGCAGCTTCTGTTTACATCAGAGGAAAAAACTGGTGAGTTGCTCTTAGCTGTTGTTAATAATAAATAAGTTAAGAAGAGAAATGGAGGGGCTCTTTAATACTGTCTTGTACTACTTTTAAGTTTATTTGAAATCTGAACTGGCAAAGAATTTTATGAATGATTGAAACAAAACTCTCATTTCATTTTTCAATATCTATGGTAGGGCTAAGGTGGGAGAACTCCTGAGCAAGATAACCTCCCCTAAGATCCATGCCCAGTATGCTAAGGCCAAGGAAGCAGATGGCAGGTTTAAAGAGGCAGCAGACGCCTACAAGCTGGCCAAGGAGTGGGATAATGTTATCAGGTAAGAGAGTTAATCATCTTGAGTTAATCATCTTGATCAGTTGGAAAATATTATTGTCTAAGGGCATTTGACAAAAAATTTATATTTAAAATTTCTCTTATTGGATTAGACCTAAAGGTTAGATGTGGCAGTGAGTGGAATGGCTTCATTTCATATTAGTATTAGTTTTTCCTTTTGAAGGAATTAGAGTTGCTCCACTCATCAATACAACTCTGTGACTATGTGATAGTCTGGAAAATATCATTTTAAGTTTGTGATTAATTAAATAGAAAAACTTATTCTCACTTCACAGCTCTAACTTTCCGTCAATAGAATGCACAATATGTCAATTAACCTTATTTTCAACTCTTACCTTACCACAGAATCAACCTGGACCATCTCCAGAATCCTGAGGAAGCTGTGAAAATTGTCAGAGAGACACAATCAGTGGAGGGGGCAAAGATGGTGGCCAAGTAATATCAGTGTTTTTTTGGCATGAACAATTTTTAATAGTTTTAGTAATGTCAGAGAGACACAATCAGTGGAGGGGGCAAAGATGGTGGCCAAGTAATATCAGTGTTTTTTGGCATGAACAATTTTTAATAGTTTTAGTAATGTTTAAGGTTAAAAACATATTAAAGCTGAAATAGAACATTTTTTAATCTGGGGAACCTAGTTTGCTGTTATGGAAAGCATTATTATAAATATTATTCCACATAAAGAAATAAGACTGCAGCTAGATTCAGAAAGAAGCCAATTTTGAATAGCTTGACATTGTCAGCTTTAGAATCAGTAAACTGAATTTATTATTCATCTATTTGTATAGAAAAATCAAAAGTGTTACTTATAATGACACTTGGTATTGTGGATCAGGTCTAATATAACTTCACAGACATAACGGATAATAAGATATTATAAAAGAGAACATGAATGTATTTTTAAAAAAGAAGCTTAAGATATATCCTGCTTCCTGTTTTCATAATTAATTTATATTTTATGAATTTATCATTCTCCCTAAGATCAAGTGGCATTTTATCTTTTTGATACATCTTACATAAAGCTTGACCACACCTCATGCTTATTTCAATCCTAACCATAGGACCATAACTTGAGGAACTTCTTTGATTTTTTGTATATGCAGAAATCTAGGAATATAGAACAAATGTGTTGTTTTTTTTTTAAATTGCAATGTAGGTTTTTCCAGCGTCTAAATGACTATGGCTCAGCCATCCAGTTTCTTGTCATGTCTCATTGCAATGATGAAGCCTTTCAGTTGGCCCAGCAACACAGGCAGATGGAGGTGTATGCAGATATCATTGGTAGGATGGACTAGATTATTCCGATACTTTGGGGAATTTTTTAAAAGTACCTTTATAACACCTGTAACCGGCATGTATTTTCAGCTTTTTTTGGTGTGCTATTTTTCATACCCTGTCAATGCCACATCATACCATGTCATGCCACATTATACCCTGTCATGGCATATCATACCCTGTCATGCCACATCATACCCTAATCATACCCTATCATACTACATCATACCCTATCATGCCACATTATACCCTATCATGCCACATCATACCCTATCAAATCACATCATACCCTATCATGCCACATCATACCCTATCATGCCACATTATACCCTATCATACCCTATCAAATCACATCATACCCTATCATGCCACATCATACCCTATCATGCCACATTATACCCTATCATTCCACATCATACCCTATCATGCCACATCATACCACATCATATCCAAATATGCCACATTATACCCTATCAAGCCACATCATGCAAGATAATCTCAAAATTGAAATCTTAAATCATTTTACCCCAAATTCCAAAATAAATTGTGTCTTTACAGGAGCTGATGCCACTAATGAAGACTATCACAGCATCGCTGTGTACTTTGAGACAGAAAAAAATAACTTCTTGGCTGGCAAGTTTTTCCTGTTGAGTGGCCAGTTCACTAAGGTCAGTCTGTGGCTTAGTGTAATTCTTCTGCTAAGAAAACATGCAAAAATGGTCTCGTCAATGTTCAATTTACATTTCTTGTTATGCTGGTAGGAAAATGGCTAAATATTCATATAAATGTAATAATCATGTTTCTATTCAGGAAATCTGGCCTGCAAAAGATATTTAGCTGCTTTGGTTTATTTTATTCCAGGCTATAAAACATTTCCTAAAATGTAACCCAGAAGATGGCCAACCCATAGAGTTGGCCATTGAGACAGTAGGACGGGCCAATGATGACCTGCTGACCAAACAGTTGGTCGACTTTCTCATGGGAGATTTGGACGGGACTCCCAAGGTAGGTTTATTGATGGCTGAAGGGGAAAAAAAATCACATATGATTTGTCATATTTTAACATTTTAGCTTAAAGCTTTTATAGGTGCAAACCTTTATTTATTGTTTACTTATTAATATTTGAAGGAATTTGTATTTTTCAAATTATGAGTGTACTAGGAAATAATATATAATTATGAACTGTCAAGCATAGTCAAATTTCTATTAATATTAGACCATCAAAGGTGAAATTTAAACAAATGAATTTTTAATAGATACATTTTCTGATGTTTAAAAATATTTCTTATGACTATTCTGGACACAAAGTATTATCATATATATATCTCTCTATCACATTTCTGACATTTGTTTAGTTTTCTTATATTATTTAAAAGAAATGTATTATTTGGTATACTTTTTAAAATGTTAATTTTTTTTTTAAAATGCTTCCCCTATCCTCCCATGATGATTTGTTTTCAACTTTGCTTTTAACTAATCTTATTTAAGGCTTTTAGTTTTTAAATCTTTGGTTCCTTTGGTACTGTGTATTACTTTTAAGCACCTTGGCCTATACACTTACTCTTTCATATTGATTCTAACACTACCAGGATGCCAAGTATCTATTCCGCCTGTACATGGCTCTGAAGAAATATGGCGAAGCAGCCAGGACAGCCATCATCATAGCCAGGGAGGAGCAGAATGCAGGTGAGCACATCGTCATCCTGAGCCGCTCTTACAACTGGCATAACTTGCAATTAAACACACACACACAAACACACACACACACACACATACAAACGAGGGGAGGTAATAAACTCTTACAGCTTGTTTTACTGCCACCTGGTAAGAAGCTTTTGTTTGATTCCAGGCAACTACAGAAATGCTCACGACGTGTTGTTCAGCATGTACCAGGAGCTGAAGGAAAACAAGATCAAGATCCCATCAGAGATGGCCACCAACCTTATGATACTACACAGCTATATTCTAGTCAAGGTGAGTTAGGCCACCAAACTTATGATACTACACAGCTATATTCTAGTCAAGGTGAGTTAGGCCACCAACCTTATGATACTACACAGCTATATTCTAGTCAAGGTGAGTAAGGCCACCAACCTTATGATAGTACACAGCTATATTCTAGTCAAGGTGAGTTAGGCCACCAACCTTATAATACTACACAGCTATATTCTAGTCAAGGTGAGTAAGGCCACCAACCTTATGATACTACACAGCTATATTCTAGTCAAGGTGAGTAAGGCCACCAACCTTATGATACCACACAGCTATATTCTAGTCAAGGTGAGTTAGGCCACAAACCTTATGATACTACACAGCTATATTCTAGTCAAGGTGAGTAAGGCCACCAACCTTATGATACCACACAGCTATATTCTAGTTAAGGTGAGTTAGGCCACCAACCTTATGATACTACACAGCTATATTCTAGTCAAGGTCAGTTAGTGATCACTGATATGGTGTTGGTTGAGATTTTGTGGGTTTGCAGGCCAGTAATGCAGATATCTTCAGTACAGAGATGGAAGGGAGTAGTTTAAACTCTAGTATAATTTCTGGAGGGGGGGCTAATGGATAGCTGGCTTAGGGAAAATATAATGTGGGACTGCTTTCAAGCCATTTTTCTTTATATCTGTAAGCTTTGTATGTAAAGTAGCCTTGCTAGACATAAGTGTCTTGATATTTTGAGCATTGTGGAAGATCTCTGGTGACATGCCTGAAGAGTATGGTCTTCTTTAGTTGATGTTCCCTTCCATGTTCCACAGATTCATGTCAAACAGGGTGACCACATGAAAGGTGCCAGGATGCTGATCCGTGTGGCAAATAACATCAGCAAGTTCCCTTCCCGTAAGTTGCAATGGGCACAAAGTATTGAACAGTAAAGTTCAGCTCAATTACACAGCTGGCAAAGATGACAGCAGTAAGAAACCTATGATTTATCCTGCACCTAGCGTTGTATGTTGGGGCATGCCATAATATGATTTTACTGGGAACCTTTTTTTCATCTTGGTAGCTGTTTATTGTTGGGCAGTTTTATCCAGTCTGGTTAGTATCTTAAAAAGATGGATCACATTCCCCTAGGAGAGAGTGATAATATTTTATTAAGGAGTTAAGGATCTTTGTAAAATAGACCTGAGGCTAAACCCATCTACAACTACTTCTTCCTGTCTGGCATTTATAGGTTTAAAAAGTAAACTTTGAAAGTAAGTAGCCTCGATTTAACACACCCACAAATGTAAAACCATCTTCTACAGATATCGTTCCCATCTTGACGTCTACTGTCATCGAATGTCACCGAGCAGGCCTCAAGAATTCATCATTCAGCTACGCCGCCATGCTCATGCGACCAGAGTACAGGAATGATATTGACCTCAAGTATAAGCGGAAGATCGAAATGATTGTGCGCAAACCAGACAAGTCTGAGGAGGAGGAACCCATCACCCCATGCCCATTTTGTGGTTTCCAGATCCCAGAGACAGAACTGCTGTGTCCAGACTGTAAAAATACTATCCCATACTGCATCATTACGGTCAGTAGAACCTATAATACTATCCCACACAGCATCATTACGGTCAGTAGAACATGTAATACTATCCTGTCAGTAGAACATGTAATACTATCCTGTCAGTAGAACATGTAATACTATCCTGTCAGTAGAACATGTAATACTATCCTGTCAGTAGAACATGTAATACTATCCTGTCAGTAGGACATGTAATACTATCCTGTCAGTATAACATGTAATACTATCCTGTCAGTAGAACATGTAACACTCCTGTCAGTAGAACATGTAATATTATCCTGTCAGTAGAACATGTAATACTATCCTGTCAGTAGGACATGTAACACTCCTGTCAGTAGGACATGAGATGGTTAAAAAGCTAAAGATCAGGAAATAACAAGGTTCCTGTGTCTGAAATTGTTTATCCTCTTCCAAATAACAAAAGTTTGCTGAAATTTGGGATTTCACTATTTCCCATACTTTGTTTCACTCATTTCCTATTACATCTCAATTGTTTTAAGCTAAATGTCTTTCATCAAAAATAGCAAAGCATGTCAAAGAGTGTTACATGACTAAAGTCACAACAATATTTTAGCATTTGAGTTTTCCTTGTTTGCAGTCTATCACGTTTTCTTCTATATATTCAGGGCCCACGATCGACGTATTGATCATTCTTGCTCCTATGTATGTAGAGGGGATTCGCAATGCTTTTGTGCCTGGTGTTGATGAGGGTATTTCCCAGGTTGAACAGCTTAACAATTATTTATTCTTTTTTACCAGGGCCGCCATGTCCTGAGAGATGATTTCTGTGCATGTCCCAACTGTGATTTCCCAGCCATTTACACAGAGTACCTCAAGTAAGAAAACCCACTTTCATCACTTCTAAGGCGATGAATGTTGCAAGGAAGTAGAATCGGGGGGCGGCCCTCCATGCCATCCACCTTCCTTCCAAATCTTCCATGTGACCTAAGTTAACTATTTTTTTTAACCATCCCAACTTAGAATAAATAGTTTTTTTTATTAATGTCTTATCTGCTCATAATTTATGCTATCTGGATAAGTTTGTTCATCAAAATTGACCTCAAGAGAAGGGTTTTTTTTTTTTTTCTCACAGGCAATTTAAAAAAAATTAATTTGCTCAAAACTTGTTTCTAGGATTTCACAAAATGCAACAAAATAATGTCATTAGCCCTTTTGGCAGTTATTTAAAGCATCTCTGAGTAGATGTTTTTCTTCTTTTCTTTGACCAGAATGCTGGAAACGGAGGAGATATGCCCCATGTGTAGTGAGAAGGTCAACATCTCCAGCATCCAGAAGCTTATTGATCCCCAGAAATACATCTATCCTGAAACCGGGGTAGCTAAAGATGATCCAACAGTGGCCTAGTTTTGTATTATTGTTCTAATAACTTTTGTCAGAATTTGACTGCTCAACACTGAGATGATATTTTTAAAGGTCTTGTGAAAAAAAACATATTTTAAATTTTCATGAGGAGCAGACTGTAAAACTCTTGTCTTCTATAGCCATATCCACCACTGTAACTAGTCGTCTACATCTTTAGTGTGTTCTGTAAATGTTGAAGGATTATTATGCTACAAATGGTTGTGAAGCACTGCGTGAGACAACAGCATATAGATTGGATTACTGTAGGACACACAAGTTAATTATTGACGTCGGACAAGGTCAGTTGAATTTTATTTTAGTATAGGTAAAAAGGCTTTTAATTCAAGAAAGTTTAAAGACAAATGAAGCACTGTATTTTCTAGAGATTTTCAAAAAATTTTGACAGAAATCACAACCGTTTGCGTAGTTTGACTGTGATGAACACAATCTTCTCTAATTTTAACTCTAGTGATATTCCATGGTCTTATTATTAAACTGAATGAATGTGTATAAATGGGTTGTTGCTTTTCTTTGTTGTAGCAGATTGAACTTTGGTTTTAACGTAAGTTAGTCTTAAGAAGAAATGAAGTGTGAATGTTAATGACATTGATCCAAGGGGTGCAGCCTATAATATTTTCACTGTGTGTTTTATGGGGGAATTTTCTTTTTTTTAACTGACCAAACATTAAAAAAAGCATCGATATACCTATTTAAATTTTGTGCGCAATCATATTTCATTGATCATGATGATCTGAAGATAAAACCCGGCACAATCATTATTTCAATCACATTTCATTCATCATGATGATCTGAAGATAAAACCCGGCACAATCATTATTTCAGTCATATTTCATTCATCATGATGATCTGAAGATATAACCCGGCGCAATCATTATTTCAGTCATATTTCATTCATCATGATGATCTGAAGATTAAAGCCGTCCAAAGTAGGTAATTTATGTTCAAATATCCACTTGTCCAGACTTGCCTTTGGGCCTGGAAACTTATCTGTGATACCAAACTTAACTTTTATACATCACTTACTATGTCCATGTTTGACCTGTAGGTTATCATTAAAATATTGTGACTTTTTTTTCTGTCTTCAGGATTTCTATAAAAATCTGCTAAATAAATTGTTTAATACATGCAGTGTATTTGCACTTTGTTGTTTACTTCTCAGATTTTTTTTGCATGTCTTTTATTCATTTGATTTTGCATTCTTTCAAAATCCCATTTTCTCGTGTTATAGTCTCAAGTGCCTTTTTTTAAATAACCACCATTCAACTTTCCCACATTTGTTATTTTATTTTGAATTTCATTACAAGGGTTAAAGGAGTAATTTCTTATAATTGGGTGAAACTGAAAAATAACTTTGCATACAATAATGATTATTCGTGGGGTTTCTCTTCCCCCCCCCCCCTTATTTGAAGAAAACTCAAAGAAAGATAAAGCTGTATTTTTGCATTACAACAAATTATGATCTGTAATTGTGTCAGCAACTCATTCTTCAAACAAACAAAATCTGTAATTGTGTCAGCAACTCATTCTTCAAACAAACAAAATCTGTCATTGTGTCAGCAACTCATTCTTCAAACAAACAAAATCTGTCATTGTGTCAGCAACTCATTCTTCAAACAAACAAAATCTGTCATTGTGTCAGCAACTCATTCTTCAAACAAATAAAATCTGTCATTGTGTCAGCAATTCATTCTTCAAACAAACAAAATCTGTCATTGTGTCAGCAACTCATTCTTCAAACAAACAAAATCTGTCATTGTGTCAGCAACTCATTCTTTAAACAAACAAAATAAGTTTAAGCTTTTATTGTTTATACATTTTAACACAATCATCATTTTAAATTAATCCTTAACAAAAATATTTCCACTGAAATGGCATCAAATTATCGAGACTAATAATGTTTTCAGCTTGCATGACAAACATAAGTATCATGGGAATCTGATAAAGGTCACATTTCTTGGTCACATGAATTTAAACAAATCCAAGAAAATTAACAGAAACAAAATTTTACAAAATTAAAAATGATTTTCAAAGAACGTTCACCTCCCCATACCAAGCATAAATGCTGCACACAATTATTTTTTTTTTCATTATTTTTTTTTACATGAAATCCTTAACTTATTTAATCATCCAATAAAAATTTTGTATTGCTATCAAAAGAAAAGGAAATGAAAACTGTGCTTTCAAAAAAAAATTCTTTTAAACTGACAGTTCAATGCAGCACTCAGTTATGAAATGTGTCATTCTAAGGAGCATACCATCTAAGAGTATCATGTACCATGATACACTGCTTGACAACCACCTATTTACACAGCCAGGGTTTGATTAAATTTAATGAAGAGTTATAATATGAACGATGAACCTGCATCAAAATTTACAACCCAACGCTATAAATGAGGAAAGACACTACCAAGACCAGATCTATGATTGAATCAAAATAAATGCCCAAACTATTTTTAGACTGAAGAGTTTATTCAGCCATGTTGTGGCTACATACAAGCAAACAGTTTTCTGTAACTTTGGAAAAGAAGCTGAGTGATATGCCATGCAATCTATACAATGGTACTTACACTCCACATTTGGAAAGGAATTGGACAACAATATTATCCATTGTTAGATACATGCTAAGTGGGTACCATGAAACACTTACTTTTTTAACAACTCAACAATAAAACTAGGTTACAGCAAAGTGGCAAACTTAAATGACATACATTTTTTGTTCTGCTAAAAACTTAGAAATTAGAAATTTAGATTTAAGAAAAAATTATGCTTAATATCGACCTCACAATGTTTTATTTGAAAGGACAAAACTATGACTAAGATGACACAAGCTGTAAGCTACTGTGCATCTAATATTGACAGAAGCTAAAGAACCGATACAGAATTTTCAATTAAGCTTTAGTCAGTGTTCAACATTATTTTGACAAAAATTATTTTCACAAGAACAAGTTTTTAGATGAATTAATTTGATATAGAAAAAAAAAACATTTTGAATTAAACATTTCTGCTATTACACAAAAAATATGCTTTCAGGCAAATGAACACTAATTTATGAACGCATTTAGTCGTAATGTAACATTTCAATAATGAATCAACTTATTAAATCTTGCCACTTTTCTTATTATCTCTACTATAAAAGTCTGAAAAGAAATGTTTAAAAAATGTTAAATCTTCAATGACCATTGTCATTGTCAATTAACATCATCACTGGACGGAAATAGCTTTACCTTAATTTAATACTGCCTCATATTGCATTTCACTGAAATGAAACAAAAACTGTTGAACAGTTGTTAAGTAGTCAAAATGTTAAAATTTAAAATACATCACTAAGTCAGAATTTTTTTTACTCATCACATTGGAAAAGCAATGGTATGCTTTAAAAAAACAAATGGGACAAATAAATTAATTTTTTATTTATTCTTTTGATAAGACAATAGGGGTAAATTTAGCAATTTTATATAATTATCAGAAACAAAATATATCAATAACCACCAATATGAATTTAATGCAACATGTCCAAAATCTTGTAAATATGATATTGCACAATGTCTCAGAAGGAAATTGGGATAACGGTAAAAACAATTTGTTTTTTTATTATGTCGAAACATAATCAGTCGTTTGCATAACTTGTTTTATTCAAGATATTTTTTTGGTCTCTTAATATAGAATAAAAACCCTCTGTGACATTGTAGATAAACATGTTTAGAAACATGTGGTGCACATTTCTTTATAATCTGACAGGCGGTTTCTGATTTACACTGCTTCCAATAACCCAACACTAGCAAAAATGACACAACTGAGAAAATACAAAAAAAGAAATGAGAATCTTGCACAAATCAAATATAATGCAAAGCCTTTTTTACAAATAGAAAAATTGTGAAAAAACTAGCAATAATCATGTGCTGTGTGTGTGCCATAAATTAATGTTAACTGAATCGACCTTCCTTTCCCATTAGAGGCTGACCAAATTTTGGTTTTGACAACGGAAGTTGCCATACGATAATTTTTGGCATAGTTTCCGTTTAAGCCAAAACAGAAAAGTTAACTTTCTGCTGATTTTCGGTTTCAGCCAAAAGTGATTTAGGTCTTTGGCTGTCTACCAGAAGTCAAACTGTCAGACGGCAATCTGATATTCATTATTGCTGAGGTCTTGCTGTCATGGTATGATATATTACTAATCCTCTGTTAACACTACCCACAGCTGCATGATGACCAATTTGTCCAATATTTCTTTTTAAAAATATAACTTAGGGGCTTAAAAAATGGATATGGTAATATTTCTATTATTATTTTTTTTTTAAATTATAAATAAATTTGGGAACCCTAGGTTTATTCAATTCATTCATGTGTGAAATTCATTTTGATTTCTCATGATCATGTTGACAAATATTGCCATAGGCAAAGGTTAAATGGTCTTGTGAACAAAATGTAAGGGAATTGTAACATTTCCATTATTATTTTTGTTTTAAATTTTTTTTTAAATTAAAAATTAGGGAACCCTGGGCTTATTTAATTCATTCATTCATGTGCCATTCAGCATTATCATGCTCATAAATGTTGTCATTGACAACGAAATAAAATTTTAAAATATCAGACCAAATTACTCACTTGTATGGACACAAATGTAAAGAATGAGAATAATGAACCTTTAGTAACATGTTCGCAAACGAGTTTCAAAATACCTAGTTATTTATCTTCGGTTTTGGGCCAAAAGTCTCATTAAGCTTTTCGTCTCGGTTTTGGACAAAAGTCATTTCTAGCTTTGGGTTTGGTTTCGGCCGACACCAGAAAATATCATTAGGTCAGTCTTCAACTTCAAATATCATGCAGCTAGTGTTCTCATTCACATTTAATCAGATGCACTGATTGACGGTAACAAGTTGTTTGACACACAAACATATATTAAAATCAACTTCTTTAGCTGCACTTGCAAGAGATACACAAATTGTTGTACTACTCCATTTAAATACAATGAAATTAATTAGGACTGGGTACATTTCATTAATACTTTATACTTATGTGGAGGCTTTCAGGGTGTTCTTATACAACAGTTTACGGGTGCAATTTGACTTAGGCAACACTCAGCACAGCTCATTGGGCTACACAGTTAAATAACAGATTTCTAAGCTAACTGAAAACACACAAGCCCTGTGGAGTGTAATGTGACACAAGCCGTGTGGAGTGTAAGGTGACACAAGCTGTGTGGAGTATAATGTGACACAAGCCGTGTGGTGTGTAATGTGGCACAAGCCGTGCGGTGTGTAATGTGACATAAGCCGTGCGGCATGCAATGTGACACAAGTCCTATCGTGTGTAATGTGACACAAGCTATTGGGTAGCACTTGAATGGGCAGTTAAATGCAAACACATTTTCTCTGTGGTAGGAAAGGAGATATAAATAAGAGACACATCTAAAAATGTTGGTACTCCTACCCTGCTTCCAGCACACAAACACAATCTGCCCAGTCCACTGGGACCAACTCCAGTTTTTAATTCAATGACCCTTAAGTCTTTAAGTACAAAACACAGAAACTGGAGCTAACAGAACTGATTTTGTTTCCTTTATAATAAAAAAAACAGCAGTTTTGTAAGTGTATCACATAAATGTTTAAACAAATCGACGGGAAGAGAATAGGTCAAATAGTAAATCATTGACCTTCCTGGACACCAACAGATACATTGGTCATTGACAATATATACAACAAAAATATGCATATATTGCTTACTTCCATTAATTTGTTAAAAAATATATTGCTCATCATTATTGTTATTTTGTTAACATAAAAGTCATTCTTTAAAATTTTGCTGACAAAGTCATTTTAATACAGATCTCTCAGTGGGGTTGGTGACCTGGTCCAACTTGGAATGTTAGATCTTCACCTAATCTTTTTAAAGTTGACGGTCAATTTAGCAGCCAAGTGTAATTATTATGATTTAATTGTCAGCAGAATGTCAAAAGTCTTACCAATGAAAAAATAACATTTAATCACAAAAGGTATGCAGATAGTTGCACAACGATAAAGTGCCTAGAAATTAACACCTGGAATCTCCCTGGGAAAGGTTTACAGGTAACTAATATACTCACAACCAACCAATCGCAAAACTTATCCCAAATTATTTATATTTATTTACATCCTCCATGAAGTGATGCTTCCTGATAATTCCCCTTTTTGCGTAATTTAAATAAGTTTGGTGATTATTGCTTACCTTTAAAAATGCAAAGCATTTTATATAATATTTTTAATTAATTAAGAAATGTCTCTTAAACAGCTGGATATAGCCATATTAACACTCAAGTGGCGCATCATATACATATATATTTGGACAATATTTTCTTGATCCTTTTTGATGTATAACAGAAAGACATCAAGACCAATTTAAGTTGTTTAGAAGGTGCTCTGAGAAATTATGCATCATAATTCTTAGTAATTCTACTTCAAGAGTTATCTGAGGAAAGAAAAAAGAATTTGATAACTAAAATAGAAAATAAAATACTCGAAATATTTCAAAATTATTGAGTTTTTCAAAATGAAACAGGAAATTGAGGAAATTTTCATCAGCTTATTTATTCAAACCTGACATTAAAAATACAGTTATGTTTCTTATTCTAATTCTCATTAAAAAATATTTCTAGTTATATTAATAAAAAAAAATGTTTGTTAATAATTTTTATTCAATTCCATACATTTCAATATGTTGGCCATGAAAATAACAACTAAAACATACAACTATTATTTCAAACTGCTTTACCTTCTTGGAATGCAGTGTCTGACATGACTAACTGGAATATTTTAGGGAACAGATGCTCCCTGGACGCCCCCAATATCTTTATGGCTTCCTTGGCTCCATCCTCAATGTTGCCCTCATCATCCTCTTGAAACTTCTAGAAAACATTTTTTTTAAAAATGAGAACTGATTTCAAAATCTAAACTAAACCTCTAATTCAGTCGAGAGAAATTCAAATATAAGTATTTAAACATTCAACTGGAATGTTTATTTATTATTGTAATGTACTGAAATATAAGATTTGAACATTCAACTGGAATGTTTATTTATTATTGCTATGTACTGAAATCTAAGATTTGAACATTCAACTGGAATGTTTATTTATTATTGCTATGTACTGAAATCTAAGATTTGAACATTCAACTGGAATGTTTATTTATTATTGCTATGTACTGAAATATAAGATTTGAACATTCAACTGGAATGTTTATTTATTATTGCTATGTACTGAAATCTAAGATTTGAACATTCAACTGGAATGTTTATTTATTATTGCTATGTACTGAAATATAAGATTTGAACATTCAACTGGAATGTTTATTTATTATTGCTATGTACTGAAATCTAAGATTTGAACATTCAACTGGAATGTTTATTTATTATTGCTATGTACTGAAATCTAAGATTTGAACATTCAACTGGAATGTTTATTTATTATTGCTATGTACTGAAATATAAGATTTGAACATTCATATGTTTATTTATTATTGCTATGTACTGAAATCTAAGATTTGAACATGATCCACGGGGAAACAACCTAAAACATTTTGGACCCCCTTTTTTTTTTTTTTTTTTTGCAGCAGCAGCAGTAGCAGCAGTAGCAGCAGTAGCAGCAGCAGACCTGTTTACCCTCAAACTCTTAAAATCGTACAATCTTATCACAAAATCTTTCAGCACATTATATTAGTAAAAAATAAACATACAGTATATATAATGTATACACCTCAAAATCGTACACTGTACGCCAAAATCGTAAGAGTAAACAGGTCTGCAGTAGGGTAGGCAATATTTGTTTAAAAGGCAATTATTTAGATATCATGGATTGTTGTGTCCGTCTGCCGTACGGTAGGCAATATTTGTTTAAAAGGCAATTATTTAGATATCATTGGATTGTTGTGTCCGTCTGCCGTACGGTAGGCAATATTAGTTTAAAAGGTAATTATTTAGATATCATGGATTGTTGTAGCCAACAACAAACGTTTCATGCTACATCATTGGTTTAACTAATCATGGAACTTGTCAGCAAAAAAAAACCATTGGCCTCTAAATTCAGAGTGCTGGTAAAAACTGACTGCTAGTCTGCATCAGTCTAGACCAGTGGTGGTTCTCAACCTTCCCAATGCCATGACCCTTTAATGCAGTTCCTCATGTTGCGGTGACCCCAAACGTAAAATTATTTCGTTGCTACTTCATAACTGTAGAGTGTATTTGTTTTCCCCTGGTCTTAGGCGGCCCCCGTGAAAGGGTTGGGTTGTTCAAACCGCCAAAGGGGTCGCGACCAACAGGTTCAGAACCGCTGGTCTAGACCCCAAAAAAACAACAAAGAAACAAAGGAATGAAAGTAATCAAAAGTCATACTAAAAATATGTCATTAAACATAAAGTGCCTCCCATGGTGGTTTCAGCATAACCAACAATAAGTAAGCTCACCTGAATAACCTGGTAAACTTCCACCAATTTATTCACACCCAAGGCTGTCTCCAGCTCTTTCCTCAACTGTTCGAGTCTGCCGAAACGGTCATCATAGCCCTTCCCTCCGTCCTGGTCATCATCTCCGAATGTTGAGTCCTCATCACTGTCTTCTGTTTAGATGAAATAATAAACCAATCAGAGTTGGTACTCAGACTAGAGCCTAGATCAGCGGTTCTCAACCTGTGGGTAGCGACCCCTTTGGGGGGTCGCACGACCCTTTCCCAGGGGTCGCCTAAGACCATCTGAAAATACATATGCTCTAAAGCTATGAAATAGCCACGAAAATAATTTTGTGGCTGGGGGTCGCCACAACATGAGGAACTGTATTTAAAGGGTCGTGGCATTAGGAAGGTTGAGAACCCCTGGCCTAGATGGTTACACTAACAGAGTCTGGAAAAAAAAAAAGATGATAACGCAAACCAGGAGAAGTATGAAGCAGTGTTTTGGTTAACGTTTTTCAGATGACAGCAGCCAGGTTTGGCTAAAGGTTGCCTATGAGTACAGAAGCATGGCTACAGTAGACCCATGAAAACCTCACACAACCACCTTGTGGCTAGAATTACATGGAAAAATTTTACCATTTTCAAGCTTGAGAACATCAGCCAAAGTCTGTTTTTGTAGATTTGCTTCGTCGCTGTCATCATTCCTTTCATCGTCACCATCATCTGCCTTCTCTTCCTCTTCTTCATCTTTAGAGTTGGCCGGCTGCTCGTTTTGTGCTTCCTCTGTTTTCTTTGAAGCTCTAGACTTTTTCTTTGCATGCTCCTTTTTGTTAGATGTTTCAGAACCTGATGTTTGTAGGCTCACTAAAGTTTTATCTTTTTCTGGGTAAAGAAGCAATGTAAAGAGCAGTGAAGAATTTTGATAATGAAAAACTAAAATCAATAAAATATATTAACTATTGCTGCAGTTCTTTAAAAACTTAATTTACCAAAGATAAAGATGAAACTTGCAACGTTAATTTTAAACAGCAGGAAGTCTATCCAACTGTCTTGTACTTGATTTAACAGCCTCATATTTATCCATCTGTTTCCCAATAGACTGATCCATTCCGTCCCTCACTTTCCTAAAAAATTATTAATACAGGTTGTTTTCAATTTTCCCTCACCTTCTTCATCACTGTTGTCAATGATGCTCTGCATGGTTTCTCTCATACTTCGTATGTCGTCATCTTCATCGTCACCTTCATTCTCATCACTGTCATTGTCTTCATCACTGTTGAAGATAAATGTACACAAATTCTAAAGATATGACTCACAGCAACATCCCTAATTTAAATATAAAAATAAATGTTATTATTTTTTTACTAGTTACATTTTGTCAGTTTAAAAATGGTAAAAGACTTATAAAAAGCTGGAAAACAAACAATTTTGGAATTTTATATATGATTATTTTATATATGAATATTTTATTCAACATACAAGACAAATTTTGTAAATGTCTTTTATAGAAATGTAATTTTTTGGATCAACCATTGTCTTGTGCCCAACTCTTATTACCACTAACCAACGGGACAAAGATAGTTTAAGTTCATAAACACAGTGTTGCTACTACAACAGTGTCATTAAAATAGACATAGAATTATTTCAGTTTCCTTTAAATTATAAATGCCCAGCTCCAAAAAAATTCAAGTTCTCTGGAAAACAGCCAGTGGACATTTGGAACAAACTACCATAACAATCTGGCAACAAAAAAAAAACATAAAGAAATAATATGCAACACTTACTTGGCTAGGATGAGGATGTCCTCCTCAGCAAACTCGTCATCCTGCGCATCGAGTGGGCTGTTGTCAACTTCATCAAAGTCACCCTGGTGAGGGAAGATCACTCTTACATTACATCAAGTAATACATTTGTAATTCAAGGTCGATCAACAAAAATTGGAAATTTATTTAATTTGTTGATGTATTTGGTTATTTGAGACTAAGATGAGAAGCCATGTTTGAGTCTGATTTTACCTTCCTCTTTTGAAAGGGGCATTTTCATCTTTAACAAAAGGTTGTTTTAAGTTGAGTAATTAATTAGTGAATTCCATATTTATTCAAAAGGGTCATTTATTTTAATCGTAAACTTTTACCGTCACTTCAAGCATATTGTATGAACATTTTATAATTCCTCATTCTATATAAAGAGATACATTTTAGTCCTGGGTGGTTGAACGTAAACCCACCACTGAGAGTCTTACCTCAGGTACAACTGTCAGATCCAGGCTGTGATGTCGTCGGAGAGTTGCAGGTGTCACGGGTAAAGAATCCTTGGCAGTGCTTTCATCTGCGTGTGCAGCACACAGGCTGGTCAGATCTGGTTCAGAGATTGTTCTGAGAAGCTGAAAAAGTGGGACAGCATAAGACCTTCAAATCGCAGTAAAAAGTTTAGCCATTTTTAAACAGGGCTTCAATATCAATAATAATAATAATAAATGCAACCAGGTAATGAAAGAGTGGGAGATTTATTTTCTTTATAAATAGAGATAAATGTTTTGTTCAATTCTAATCGTAATTTTAAATTATAATGAAATGAAAAAATAACTGGGTCATCTATTTTGACGGCCGTCTTTTAAAAACTAAATGACTTGCTGGATTATTCGGGCACTGGCCAAGATATTTTTTGATTCAACACATCCAGTATGTTAGTTATCTCCCTTCCAACTCTGACAGTATTGCCACAATAATTATTTACCAATCCCGTACAGCTTAAATGTTGTAAACTACACCTGTAACACACCTTCACATTTCTTAGATCAAAGTTCCCAGATGTGAGATTCATCTGTACACTTTTGGCACCATCCCTAAAGCAAAATAAATATATATATATATATTTCTGTATTCATGTAAGATCATTATATGCTTTTTCTTATGCTTTATAATGCAATGATCTAACAATGTACACTAAAGTCACCGGGTCAGACATTGCACATCAGTAACCAGTTTAAGTAACCACACAGATCCTACCGGGTGAGGTCATTCTTCAATTTGCCTTTGTCCTCTGCCTCTGTTGCAGTGGGTGTAGTTTTCACATCAACCTGGGCACTGTCAGATTCATCTACCACAGGGACACTAACACCTTCAGGAACATATAATTAAATGTTTATTTATATAACTTTAGATAACCTTAATCTAAAAGCCATATTGAACATAAAAGAAAAAACTAAAACACAGTGATGCACATTGTAGATCAAAGCATGGGGTTAAAAGAGGAAGAGTTTGGTCATATTTAAATAACTAAATAAAATAGATTTTTTACAACATTTTTCATACATTTATTTCATTTATAAACTGACTTTAGCACCGAACTTGATAATTTTTTAAAACCTCATTTTTGATAGACCCCAATTTTCATTTGAAAGCTTGACTTGATCAAAGCCTTGTTTTGGTTTACCATTCAAAAAATAAGGGAATGCTATTTTTAACTCCACTGACCGATTGACCCGTGGGATAAAACAATAGTCCCAGATCGCGGGGGTGCAGGCAGAGGCCTCCTGGCCGTCTGCAAATTCTTTCCGTCCTCGCCACTGATGGCTCCCTGTCCAGGGGGCTTTTGAATGATCGTGATTGTTGAACCAACTCCAACAGGAGGGCCCTGGGGTGCAGGGCTTGGAGGGCCCTGAGGTGCAGGGCTTGGAGCTTCTGGTGAACCTGGTTATTAAATAAATCATTCTCTGTTTTTAAAAAATGTTGAATTTGTTCTGTAAATCTAATTATACTGCAAATATGTTTGCTGTAAATTAGAGGGAACCTCGTTTAAGAATTTAAGATTCTGGACAAAAACATGAAAATATTGAACATTATTTTATGAATGACATATTGCTATTTGGTTGAAATTTTTTTGATTTTGCAATTGGAAGAACATAACATTAACATCCCTAAAACAATTGAGTTTAAAACTTTGAAAAAAAATTATTTAACAATCAAATTTTAATTTATACATTTAAAATTTCACGTCATAAAGTAAAATTAATAGCCACAAACAGATTTTTAGCTTGCTTCTGTTATGATAAAATGTTTGCATTTACCAAGCAAATTTGTACAGACGTAGAACCTGGCTGAGAAGAAGCAAATCAGTTCTAACAACACTGGAAAGAGTCTGCAGGTTTGACGAAAAAAAGGACCCTTGTTTCCAATTACAAGGCCATTGGGTAAGGCGGACTGGGTTAAAGAGACCCTCCTTTATGGATGTAGAAAACCTACCCTTACCCAAAAACAGAGAAAAAATGCAGCGTGAATGCTTATAGCTCCTGCATATACATCTTTCACTGGCAAATGCAGCGGTAACGAAAGCAAGTCCCCAGAAGCCCAAAAAGAAGAGGCTGTGTGAAAGATTACAAGCTAATACAGACCAAGTGGTAAAAGTCTTTACAGGCGGCTCATGTTTCACAAGCAAAAACCAAAGTGGACATGGCGCACCGATTGAATATCCTGGAGGAGTTCCTCCAACTGAGGAAATTTCAGGACCCAGTGGGACAAACAGAACAAACTTAGATGCAGAGATCGAAGAAATACTGGTTGCCCTAAAACAAGTGGGTCGCTGACTGACATGGAGGAAAAGTTTCCTGACCATTATGGTCTTCACTGACTCACAGTTTGCTCTGGAAACATTTGGAAGGAGCTTGAAAGAGTCCACGATGATTAAGTGCCATTCTGGAAATAGTGAATGGCATGAATGCACTTGGCGGCTCAGTCATCCTTCAGTGTATTCCTTGTCACAATGATGTGACACAAAACGAGCCAGCAGAGACCCTTGTGCGAGAAGGAGCCACACTACCCCAACCAGACAGGCCCATAACTCAGCTGGGAGTCAAAGCATGGCTCAAAAACAATTTCCATGAAAAATGGTTCAACGGCTGGTCGGTTGGAGCCCGTAAACTCTACAAAAACATGTCACGACCCAGCAACCCTGGTGAAATCTAACCCAAGGAGAACAAAGTCTCATTATGCAGATGCAAACTGAACACTGTAAGACAATATATAAATTCGACCGGCTCAACTATGTTAAGACTCCAGGTACCGACTGGTATCACCTAGCAGAGGAAAATGTCGCACATCTAATCCCAGAGAACCCCAAAACCAAAGTGGGTTTTGACAGGACAACCTTAGACACCATTGTTGATTGACTACTTTATGGTTTTACGGTGATGCCTGCTTGATGAGGCGTGCCAGTGAAATATATTGGACAAGGTTTCAAGAGGTTGGGCCCGACCTTACAAAAGAATGTCTTCATGGACCAAGCAATAACTGTTGTGCAGAGAATCACTTCAAATTGGAGTCCATGAGAGAGCTTTTCATTTTTAAACCTACCATTTATGGTGACTGTATCCTGACTGATTGGCATCTTGTCCAGAGCTCGGACAACATCAGACCGTCGTCCCCACTGACTTCTTCCAACTTCTTTATCCTTGCCACCAGCAGCATTCATTTTAATAACCTGGTCTCTGACACTGGTTGCTGGTCACAAAAAGTAAACACGAGTGAAAAAAATATTTCACAATGCATAACATAGTCAAACACCATAGGTAACATGGGTTGGTGAGATTTTAATTCATGTCATATTACTGACAATTTCATCAAGTATTTTTCAGAGCTAAACTATTCAACCTCTATTTTTATCTGACCCCTGACCTTCCATCTGAGATCCTGTGAGTTCCAAGGGGACATTAGTCAAATGCAAGTTTTTCTGAGCTCCCCACTGAGACCTGGCAGACTCTGGTGCCTCTTCCTCTGCTGCGTTGATTGCAGGGGATGCTGGAGCTCCCCACCGTCTGCGATCAACTTCTTCAGGAACAGCCGGTGAGGCTGGCTCCTTCCATTTGCCACGTGCAGGATTCTGTAGATAGTGTCATTTGTGAATGGATTGTCAGCATTTTTTTAGATAGTAAACATTTCTCTGAGCATTATTTATTATAAGGTGACAATTCCCCGAACATGATTTATTATACCAGTGGTTCTCAACATTCCTAATGCCGCGACCCTTTAATTCAACCCCTCATGCCGTGGCAACCCCCATCCATAACATAATTTTTGTTGCTTCTTCAGAAATATGCATTTCGTCTTAGACGACCCCTGTGTAAGGGTTGTTCGACCCCCAAAGGGGTTGCGACTTACACGTTGAGAACCACTGTATTATAAAGTAACATTTCTCTGAGCATTATTTTTTATATAATAAGAATTCTCTGAGGTTCTTTAACCCTTTACGGGGCAGAGCGGCCGAAAACGTCTTTACCACTTAAAGGGCAAAATGCCCAAAACAAAAGCATCCGTGACAACTTAGTGTTGTTTTCTTGTGACCTCCGAGGCTTTGCGAGACTTCCTATTGTTTACATCCGGTTTTTCCGATAGCTAATTAGAGTAGGTGCCAGTTACAAGTATTTAATCGATTTTTTTTTTAGTTTTAGGGGTTTAAAAAATTATTTTTTTCGAAATGAATTTTGCCGATTATTCAAGTGATAGCTGAGATTTCGCTGGATTCAATTAAAGTGACATTTAAGTGCACGAATTGACTGTAAATTGGAACTAGATGTTTATATTATTAGTAATATTAGTGAAATCAGCGTAGTAAGCAGTGTTGAATTTTACAAACTGCAATTTTGTGGCAGTGTTTGTAAATAGTAAATAGATGACTCACAATCACAAACAATATGTTGTTTTTGCAAATATTTGTGTTCATATAAGGATTAATGGCAACATGTGACTACAATTATAAATCTGCATTCATTTTCCTTTATTTGCTTTTTATTTCACACAAATTTGTTGACTAACACCTTAGATTTGATTTTTTTTTTGTAACGTCACCCTAAATCTTACTAAAAACGGAATAGTGGTGCCCGTTCAGGACATGCAAGAGGAAGTACCTCTGCCCTGTAAAGGGTTAAGGAAACATAATGTGTTTAATAAAACTGGACAGTGGTCATTCAAGGTGGAGATAAATAACAAAAATAATTATTATTCTTAATACTGGTATGAATCTGAATATGACACACAGCATTAAGTGGGGTTGGCTCCCTTGCAGATAATGAAAGGGACCAACAAGGATGGTCTCCAATTTTAATTTTTTTTTTTTATGGGCAGCACAATTCTTGTAATGTGTAAACCGGAATTATATGATTTGTACCACTAAAATAAGGTTGTACCCTTGACTCCCATGTTTAAAATAGTAAACATATAACCTAAATTGTAAAATCATCTGAGATCTAAAGAAGTTGTTTCCCCTTACATTTGCTAAGACACTGTTTTAAGCTTTAAATTTTATGTGCACTGGAAGTTATGCATGCTGTAAAACCTTTTGTGATCAATCTCACGTTAGCTCCCACTACATTGGGCAACAATTAATTTCACCTCTCAGGCTCCCACATGTTTTCTACCTGTTACCAGTACAATGTCACAGTCATGGTTCTGATCCAGACATCTTACCTTTTCATTGAGTTTCTTTAAGATGCTGTCTTTCTTCATCTGGTGGGCAGATCTGAGAAAATCAAACACCCAACAATGTTTTACTCTCATATTTCTGGAGTTTAATTTTACTGACAGTTTTTTTTTTTTTTTTTTTTTAGGAAGCACCTGCCAGTAGAGACAGACTAAGGATTTTTTTTTTTTTATTATGTTTTTTTTCTTTTTACTCTCATATTTCTGGAGTTTAATTTTACTGACAGTTTTTTTTTTTTTTTTTAAGGAAGCACCTGCCAGTAGAGACAGACTAAGGAATTTATTTTCTTAATTATGTTCTATTTCTTTATTCACATAATTTTAAACATATTTAAATTTTTTTATTTAACAGAATTACAAAAAGCATCTTGTAAATAATTTTTTTAGAGAGTCGCTCCTTTGTTAGGGCAATATTTGTGATATCACGGTGAATTCCCAGAAACTAATTTTTTTAAAGTGAGAGGCAATGTGAAGACTTACTGAGGCCTGTCTGATTCTGGGGAAGTTCCTGCTACAGCTTTCATAGCATTAGTGAGGGACCCAGCTGATCTGAAGACAGAAGCAGATTGAGTTTTACATTGCTTATTATGAAGCTGACAAATATTTCTTTTATCAGTCAATGAACGAATTCTCAGAAATGTTTAATTTATAACTAAGTTGAAATTAGGAAAAAAACATTGAAAACGAGTAACAGGGAAAAAAAAAAGGTAGATTTTTTTTTTTCCATTTATTTTTATGATTAAAATGTAATTCTTTTATCAACAATTATGTCTGTTTCCAAACAATACCTGTCTATTCTAGAATAGAATGAACAAATGAACTTAAGTCTGTTGTGTTGTTTTTTATCAATTGAAATGATTGAAGTGTCATGATGATGTTGGGCTGGTTTAATATTTTAACAAAATAATATAAGGTTAATCTTAAAGTTTCAAATAATAGAGCAACAGAACTTTACATCGACCAAAAGGCTGTTGTACAGAAGGATAGGGGAACTTACCCTTGTGATCCTGCCTGTGCGTTTTGGGCACCATCCAGGGCACCTATTGCTTGTAATGCCCCAGTCATAGGCACCGGTGTAGCAGGCTTGACCTGTAACAGCACAGAAATGGTAAGTTTCACAGCAACATGGGACTGTCTGACATTAACAAACATTAACCCTTGCTTGATCACATACATTAATCCATGCTTAATCAAGTTCCTAATGTTAAAAATTACAATATCAAATGATTATCCAGGCTCTCTATGATTTACAAGATAATAATGGGCCTGGTCCACAGCTCCAGCATTAAGCAGAAACTCGTCCCTCTCCCCCAATAGACAGCAACAAGGCCATGACAGGCAGTTCGGGCTCATAACAGCAAGAACACAGTACAGTAGCTGATCATTCCTGCCAAAGACCATCAGGGACTGTAACGAGCTTCCAAAAGGAACAGTTGAGGCGACAACACTTGACACATTTGTATCTATTGCCTCAGGCCTTCCAGCCCCCAGTTCCTGATACCCTTGCTGTGTAGCCCTTGCAACCAGTGAAATATCCTCTTCAACACCAGGCACAGAAACATTGCAATCCCTCTACATGCATGGGAGCCAGAATGATCAATACATTGATCGTGGGCCTTAACATATAGAAGAAGATGAACCTTTTAAATTCAACACCTGGTAAATCACCAGCCAGCTTATGTCTGCAGCACTGCAGATAAATTCATGCATCTATCTTTGTTATGTATAACGTTTTACACGATTTCCCAGTGCGTGAACTTTGCTTGACCTTAAATTAGATTATTAAGCAGACGCTCGCTTCATAGAAGGGCGGGGCTAGTTCTTTTGATCTGTCGTGTTTACCCATTAAACATGGTTAGACTGTCTTCTAGTATCTTGTCGAATGATCTCGATTTGTTCAGAAATGTAAACAAATGCTGAGTAGCTTCTGGAAGGCAGGGCTTACGCGTCGGTAGATTCACATATATAAAGGATTGACAGCCACAGAGAGGGGACGGAGATTCAGATAGATAGATAGATTTTTAGTTTTATTTGGCGTGTATTATTCTTTGTGTATTTGTGTACTCATGTGTTTATTTCGCATTCATTGGCACATTGTATTAACTGTGTATCGGTACAAGATCTACCATACTGTAAGTTGATGATTTATAATTATATTTCTTTTGTTTTGTTATTGTATTATTACTAAATTATAAATCATATTAATTGTAACTGGCAACTGTTTTGGGTGTCGTATCTTTATTATCATATTTCTATGGTATCATCCTTTGTTAGGCACTGTTTGAACAAGCCATAAATTAAAAAAATAAGAGATTAATTTCTCACAAGAGAAGCCAGTGCGTAATAATCTTACCTTGCCCAGCCAGCTTATGCCTGCAGCACTACAGATAAATTCATGCCTCTATCTTACCATGACAATGTGTCTTACAAGCTCAGTTTGACACAATATCAAAACAATAGACACCACTCAAATTTTAGTGTATTCAAGAACATATCTTTTATATTTCATTAAAGAATTTTGCTTTTAAAAAAATAAAACTTGTCAAACAATGAGAACTACACATATAACATACTGAGGCACCTGAATATTTCTATTCACCACACACCTTGGAGATGCCAAGACTGAAGCACCTGAATCTCTATTCACCACACACCTTGTAGATGCCAACACTCAAGCACCTGAATCTCTATTCAACACACACCTTGTAGATGCCAACAATGAAGCACCTGAATCTTTATTTACCACACACCTTGGAGGTGCCAACACTCACTTCATTAAAAGCCTTTAGTTTTAGGCATATCCAATAACTCTCACATTCCCAAAATGAAAAAAACTTACCGGCACAATTCCTTGGCGCTGTTTTTCAAGTTCTTTTTTCTTCATCTCTGCCCACTGCTCTGCCTGTAACTGTAATTAAGAAAATTTATTTCATTTCCAATTACACCAATTATGAGAATTTAACACACACAAAAAATCTGGCTGTCTACAACGCATAGCCTACAAAGTTTATTTGAAATTTCTTAATGAATTATCAAACGCTAAACAACTTCTTAAAGAATTTGAATTGTTTGTTTTCAAAATTTGAAAGGCTTACTTTTAGAGCTTCCACTTTTTTCTTTCTTTCTTCAGAATCTTCAGAGGCCTAAGAATTAGAATGAACAACAATATATATTACAACTGATAATTTTTACTTTGCCCTCACTGAACAGGTTATCTTAGAACCAAGGATGAGAATAGGAAGTGAGGTCGAATAAACTTCTTTACCTTGTTATCAGCGTGTTCGGCCACGTTCCCTCCTCGGATGGCTCTTCTGTCCTTCATATTTTGGATTCGGATCTGACGCAGCTTCTCCAAGTATTCCTACATTAAAAGAACAAAATGATATTGGCAGGCCTGGTGTCAAGCATTTATTTGATAACTACAGTTTCCAAAACCTTGTGGTTAAATCTGAGCAAGAAACACTAATAAATTTTAAAATGAAAAAGTTTTCAACAACAAAGAAAAACATTTGCCATAATTAAATTACCTGCTCCTCTCTGTTTCGTCCCAGCATTCCACCCCCTCCTCCTCCTCCTCCTCCACCACCACCACCACCTCTTCCAGGACCAGGGCTTGCCCCTCTTCCTAAAATTAAAACATCTTTAACATTTTACCTCACATTTTGAATGACCTAACCTCACTACTGTTTCTTAACAGCATTGTTATGAACTTCCTATTTTTTTTGTCATTACATTTCTAATCCTACACAAAAAATATGTGAGCTGGCACAAAGAATACTACAATAAAGACTATTTAAACATGACAAAATAAAACTTTTGCCCTCTGCACAATTATTCCTAAATAATTATCATCGTTTGGTAACAAATAAAGACTGCACAAAATCAAATCCAGAAAAAAAGCTAATCACTAAATAAATATAAAATGCCTGATAAATTAACTAAACCTGTTTTTTGTTTTTTTAATAGAATAAATTATAAATATAAAAACTAGGCTAAGGTTATGCGCTATATAAAACCACATAATAATAATAATAATAATAATAATAAGACCTGATCATGAATTAAAGTTAATAAATTTAAAATAGCCAACATCTAAAATGATGACGCTCTGTCAAAAGCCACAGTGTGAATTAAATAAAAGACAATAATAATTAATCATCTGTAATCTAGAAGATTGAGATTAGCAATAACAGAGACAAGAGGCAACAGGCAGGTTAAGAGAACAATTATGTACAACTTACTGGGAGCTGGCACTGGTGTGCGTCTGTCAGCAGAGGATGGGCGGTACTATTTACAATTTTAAAAAAAAAAAAAAATTAAAAGCAAGTTCATTCATTATATGGTCAATTTTTATTTTACTTATTTTATATAGATTTTTCGTCACTTAGAAAAAAGGAAAATGAGTAAAAAAAATGTCTGACATAATAAGATAATAAGTTTTGTTAAATGGTTTCTCAAGTTAATTAAAAGGGAATATAACATCAAGCAAATAATAAAATACCTAAAAATCTATAGCTTAAGATTTAATTGACTGATATTATTTTGTTACTATCTTCTGCAGGTTCAACTATTTAAATCTTAAGTTGCAGTAACAATGACATTCCAGTACAAACTTATAGCTGTTCTTAGGATTTTTTTAGGGGATTACATGATCATAATGATTGAAGGTTAAGTTTTTTAGCTATAAATAAAGGTCAAATTGGGTAAAATAAAAGCACAATTAAACATTTTAATTTTTAAAAGAACCATAATGCTTCGGCATGCTCTCCCCTTACCATTCCATACAAGTCATTCTGTGCCCTCATTTTGTTCAAGTCTGCCATCCTTTTTCTCTGCATGTAATCTTCTACAACCCTGGCTCTCTGAGCTGCCTGGGCCCCCAGTTGCCTAAGAAACAAAATTAATTTAGCAATGAGTTAATATATTCCTCAGAAATCTAATTAATATAGGCCTATTCAATTCCTCGTTGATTTATTAACATTAAAATTTATTTTTCAATGGTAGAATTGAAGTTGTATTCTCATTGATCTAAATGGTAAGAACAATTCCATTTAAAACCAAAAGTTTAAATTTCCATGAATGAGTTTGTGTGTAATATAAATGTCATGAAAATTTTTAGTCTATTTTGAAAACCTCCTAATCTAAAAATATTTTTTAAACATATAGAAAATAATCTAATCTAATACATTAATTTTTTTTTAAAATTATGACAATTATAAGATATTAGAAAAACTATTCATCGATGTTAGGTCACCACAACAACCATAAATGAAAACATGTATCTGCTAATACAATTCACAAAAATTAAAGCCAAACATTTTGGTAAAATAAATTTTTGTAACATTCGTTTTTGTGAATTAAAATATTTAAAACTTTTTTAGTGCATTCCTGAGAGTGTTTAAAAACCATCTTTAATAAAATACTACAATTTTTTATTTTTCAGCATCAATTAATTCATTTTTATCAATTAATCACATCACAAATCACTAATTAAATGTATACTCAAAACAAGTTCATATAAGAATTAAAAAACCTATCTAAAAAATAATTGCCACACAATACTTCTATTCAGTTCCTATGCTAACATCCAGTGTAAATCTTTCTTATGTCACCAAATCAGTTATTGCAAACACCAGAAAATATAATTTCCCCATACTTAACCAATCAAACATTACATTACATTTCAGTGAAAGCACCACCACCAGTTAAGTTTATGCAGGTTAAAGAAAAGCCAACTGTCAGCACTGGGTTAAAAAAAGGCCAACATGTCAACTATACCAAGTTAAATGAACCCTGGTTTTGGCTACATGAAACAAAGCTGTCTATTCATAAATTAGATGTATACCTCATCTTTAAAACAGAAGAAAAACTATTCTTTAATAACTATACATTATTGAATCCAGAGAGAAATTATTTTTAAAATATTCTTATAAAGTCAAAAGAATTATCAATCATTTATTATGAAATTACTTTAACCAGGTGCTCTCAAGGCAATTACAAAGAATAAGTCATAAATAGTATGTAGCTGACTTTATGGCCTTAGAAAAATTATTAAAAGCTATAAATATGCAGTTTCAGAACTATTTGAAACTTACATATTGTAGCTATACCTGTCTCGGCCAGCCTGGTCAAGAGCTGCTGGCACACCTGGAGGCCCCATAGCAATAGGTACACCAAGGGGCCCCATGTTGAACTGTTGGGGAATTGGTGGCCTCTGCTGATTGCCAGCAGGGAGTGGCCTGGGAACAGCTATGTGCACAACTGTAGAAAAAAACAAATTTACATATTTAAAATTTTGACCTGGGCCTAAAATGTAAAACAGTTTTTAAAAGACAAATATTTTATAGATTAATGTCTAATTAAAGGATAACATTAATCATGGCATTTTTTATAACAAAATAAAGTTGTAACCATTAAAGGAATAGGCTCCACAACAGGTGAGGTGCTAAATATCACTGAGGACTATGCTATACATTTCAAGCAAAAGGTGGTGAAAAATTTGTTTGCTTTCAATACATCTTAAATATTTGATGTTTCATTGCTAAAAAAAATTTTCATTTTAATTCATTCCTCAAGCCCTAAATTTGTAGTGTCTCAAGGGAGAATACTGAAACGTAACTGTATTTCATAAAAAAAAATAATAAATAATGCTTTATTGTTTTTTTGAAAGATTGCATATGTTGTTCTTTTTTAATATCTTGATGAGTGAGACAAAAAAAGACGACACTTGAAATTGTAGCTCTAGTGTTTATTGAAACACACATCAGTTCTGAAATACCCACCATCCACATGATTAGGGTTTCTGCCTGCTGGGGAAGGGGCTTCTCTGTCTTGCTGGAGTCTGCCTAGGAACTGATTGTAAGCCTCGTAGTCCCCTCTGTTTCTGTTGTCATTCTGGTAAACAGTATGGGCAGCAATCAGTGTTTAAAACATATTTAAATAACTAAACCGAAGATTGCTTCCTAAATATGACAAAACTATATTACAGTGATAATGTTTAAAGTGTAGAGGTGTATGGTCCAATAATATGGTCCAATAATACAGTCATGCAGTCTTATCTTTTGTCATTCAAGAAACTGGTTGTTGATACTTGACAAGCAATTAGTTTTAAAAAAAAGGGTGTGAATAGAATTCATTGATTAATTCACTTACATTGACTTTTGGAACGGGCAACGGGCGATTGTTGTTTGGTGTCGGTGCTCTGTTATTCTGCACATGGATGACAAAATGTAAAACAGTTATACAACAAGGAAACATCCTAAAAAATTCTGTCCATGGGGGAAACTAGTCCTGCATTTTTATCCAGCTAATCAGAATTCAAGGGAATGAACTCAGGCCCACTTACCAGCTGTGTGAGACTACACCCAGAAACTCCACACCATCATTCAATGATGGCACATTATAACCTCAAAGACAACCAATAAAAGAAAACAGCTGACCAAGACTGCATGATCTCCATACCTGCCATTGGCATACACACACCTGCCTTTGGCATTCCCATACCTGCCATTGGCATACACACACCTGCCTTTGGCATCCCTCATACCTGCCATTGGCATCCACACACCTGCCTTTGGCATCCCCCATACCTGCCATTGGCATACACACACCTGCCTTTGGCATCCCTCATACCTGCCATTGGCATACACACACCTGCCTTTGGCATCCCTCATACCTGCCATTGGCATACACACACCTGCCTTTGGCATCCCCCATACCTGCCATTGGCATACACACACCTGCCTTTGGCATCCCCCATATCTGCCATTGGCATACACACACCTGCCTTTGGCATCCCCCACACCTGCCATTGGCATACACACACGTGTTTTATTAAGGAGAGGAAAAAAAATGGAAACTAACTTTTGATAAGGTCTTTCACTGAAATTCCAACTGCACGAATAAATAGGACAAAAGAATTTACTTATGTAATCAATTGGGGAAAATCCAGCTCCATCACCCCCCCCCCCCAAACCAGATTTGCATTAATATTGCCCCTGAAAATTTTCTTTTCTTTTACATGCTGTTCAGTGTTATTATTAACAAAATATGTTACTGCTAGCACTCCCACTTTAATTATTTCATAAAAGAATTTACTTATGTAACCAATTGGGGAAAAACCACCCCCCTCCCCCCCCCCCCCCAAACCAGATTTGCATTAATATTGCCCCTGAAAATTTTCTTTTCTTTTACATGCTGTTCAGTGTTATTATTAACAAAATATGTTACTGCTAGCACTCCCACTTTAATTATTTCACTAATTTAAAATAAAGTGAATTCAAATTTAGGAGTCATTGGTAATGCAATACAAACTGCCATGTCCCCAAAATTCTTTTGATAAATCATCCATTAAGTATAAAACAACATACTCCCCAAGGCAGGAACCAGACTAAGCCAGAGTAAAGCACACTGATAATCCCACTCCTCCATCAGATTATTTTCACCTCAAAGATCTCACAGACAATGCAATAAATCTCGGAAATTATGCACAGTTCACTTCTCAATCCAGTAATTAAATTACTAAAAAAAGCTTTATAGAAAAAGGCAAAACATCTGACACTACGGGTGCAGCACTACGCAGCTATGTGCGATTGTTGAATACCTCATCTACTGAAAAAGGGTCGATGACATGTTTCCATCCCTCCTCTCTTGCCTTGTTCATCCTCATTACCTGTCAGACAAAATGATGAGACCTTTCCTTTGACTAAAGCTTCCCAAATTTAACTTACACCCTATTAAATTAATGTGTTAAATAAGCAGCCATGGCTATTGCTATTAGTGAGATTATTCTTAGAGTAACACACGGATTAATGCTTGCAACTGGTTCACTAAGATCTCTCCTTTACCTTTTGCTTTTCAATCAGCTCTCTATGTCTCCTTTCATTCACTTCTTGATCCTGTCAATGAAATTTAAAAAAACAAAACAATTATTTACTCCTTAAATGGGCCTTGTCATTTCTTCATTAAATTTGATAATCAGTTCAATGCCAGTCCTGCTTAACCACAGCATTCAAGAGTAGCTTTGTGACAGTTGGCAGTGTTTTATGATGGTAGGTCTTTGTGACAGCTGGTAGGGCTTTGTGATGTTGGTAGGGCTTTGTGACAGTTGGTAGGTCTTTGTGACAGCTGGTAGGGCTTTGTGACAGTTGGTAGTGTTTTGTGATGGTAGGGCTTTTTGACAGCTGGTAGGGCTTTGTGACAGTTGGTAGTGTTTTGTGATGGTAGGGCTTTGTGACAGCTGGTAGGGCTTGGTGACAGTTGGTAGTGTTTTGTGATGGTAGGTCTTTGTGACAGCTGGTAGTGTTTTGTGATGTTAGGGCTTTGTGACGGCTGGTAGGGCTTTGTGACAGTTGGTAGTGTTTTGTGATGGTAGGGCTTTTTGACAGCTGGTAGGGCTTTGTGACAGTTGGTAGGGCTTTGTTTTACAACAGAGACCCTGCTTATAAGGACGTCTCTAATGTTCTTAGAAACGCTGAAACGAGATAATATGAGCGGAAGCATAGACATGTTGGTTTTAATTATTGTCTCTCATATAAGGCTGTGACCAGAAGTGAGTTCCACATCACCACACCTAAGCAGTATCATAAAAAGCTGAATTTCAGTAATTCATTAGCTAGGAATAATGGATAATGGGTGGCTTTTAATTGTTCTGTTCATAAATTTGAACTAGATAAAGTGAAAGGTCAACTTTTTAATTTACCAGTTTACCATTAGACATGAAAAGAAAATGATCAACTAAATCCGTCACATTCTCATTTGTCCACACAGCTTGTAAACTGTTCCCAGCACACAAATCTGACAAACTCACCCGCTTCCTCATTTGTCCACACAGCTTGTAAACTGTTCCCAGCACACATATCTGACAAACTCACCCGCTTCCTCATTTGTCCACACAGCTTGTAAACTGTTCCCAGCACACATATCTGACAAACTCACCCGCTTCCTCATTTCTCCACACAGCTTGTAAACTGTTCCCAGCACACATATCTGACAAACTCACCCGCTTCCTCATTTGTCCACACAGCTTGTAAACTGTTCCCAGCACACATATCTGACAAACTCACCCGCTTCCTCATTTGTCCACACAGCTTGTAAACTGTTCCCAGCCACACATATCTGACAAACTCACCCGCTTCCTCATTTCGGCTCGACGTTTCTCCTCCAGTTCTTGTCTTTCTTTCTTTTTTTTCTCCCAGTCCTGAAAGTTATATATTTACACTGCTGACTTGTATTGCCTTTTAGTTGTATAGCCTTATATATTTTTTAGCTTTTTAGATATGTGGAAATCATTTTCCCAGCACAATAAATGATTGTACATCTGTCAAGTAATCTGTAATAAGTGGGCCCAGCTCAATTTATATTCAGTTTTAAATGTGGTAATATATAGATTTGTTTTTAGTTGACTTTGTACCGCGCTTCGAGCCTTTGGGGATGAAGCGTGTTTTTGAAATGAACTTTATTATTATTATTAATATAAATTAAGGTGTAATTTCATTCCTAGGGCCTTGCAAACAAAGTGATTAAATCCCTGGTAACTAAATACACTTCACATGTCACTCACCACTTGGCCAGGTACAGGAGCTTGTCGTCCAGGTGTGCTCGGCCTTTTCTTCTCACCTGACATCCTGTGACAATGAACATGAGCAGTTAAAAATATCTTTGCTGTGGTATCATTTCCAATCAGCAAAATCACGGCTAAAACGTATGACATTGACACAAGACATTGGGCGGCTCACATTCAACACAATTTATTAGCTACAGCAAATAAGGACTTTGCTTCTACAGATAGAAACTGAAGGAAATAGATACTTTTTAATGGCTTAATTGAATCATATAATTCAATTTGTTACATGGCTTTTGAGATTAGGCCTACCTGTTTTTTGATGAGCTGAGAGGGGCTCCGTAGACAGCAGCCGGATCATATTTCTTGTTTGCTGATCCCGGTCGTGGAGTTGCGTTGACTCTCTTACTGGGATCTGAAAGGGAAAAAAAAAATGTTTTTCCGTTGCTTTCAAAGGGTGAACTTAGCGAGCTATGGTTTTAACAGTTTTACCACAGCTACCCAACGTTAAGACACTCACCTGCTGATGGTTTGGGGGCAGGCGGCAGGGCTTTGGCAATTTTGTGTCCATGCATAACAGTGTGACTGAATTCTTCTTCTATGTCCTACAAGACAAAGAGCCATAATAAATATTTACAATGGCATAGATATATTATCCTGAAATTGTGTTCTACCCTTTCCAATGATTATCATAAGTAGTTTATAATATATAAACACATTCATGTCAACAGGTCATAAATATGACTTAACTTACTTGAGCTGAGAGAAACTTTCGAACCCTTTGCATAACAAAATTTTTCTTCAAAATTGCATTGACTGTGGGACGGTCTCTGAATGGAAAGAAAAAAAAAATTTTTCATTTATTTTTCAGAGCAACTCTTCATTTTAAAAAAAACTTACTTCCAAATTTATAAAAATAAGATGCATTTATAATATAATTTTAATTTATAACACAATTTTTGTTTCAGAGGTCTCACCTAATATAAGAAGAAGAATGTGTTTGTTGTGGGTTTTTTTTGGCCAAGTTAAACAAATAGTTACCACCTATTTTTAATTCAAATACCTGGGATTCCTCTTGAAAAGTTGAGCAATTAAACCTCTTAGGTCATAGCTGAACTGCGGAGATATAGGGGGATAACTTCCTCTGTTTGAGTAAAAAAAAAAAGATAAAATAATCAACAGCTGTAGGATAACATGTAAACAAAACTAAAAAGATAAACTAAATATCTTTGTGGTAAATGTCATAGGTACAGCGAGCCTTATCTTACACTTACCTTATCTTACACTTACCTTATTATTTTTAACACCAAATTTTTCATGTTGCCTGCTTCAAACTGGCAACCAAAAAAAAAAAAAATTAACAGTTCAAGTCATACACATTTTCCTGTACAAGCATAATCATAGAGATTTTAGCAAAGTTTTATACCAACCCAATTATTGAAGATACAAGATGGTTTTATAATGTGTTTCTGTGCAGGTGTAAAGACCTATATCAGCCATTAAGTCCCTTATGGACTTTTCTTTTTTAAAAATTTGAATTGAAATCATGAAATCAAATAACCAGCAAATACTGAACTTATGATAAAACTATTGCTGACATTTACAGTCATCCATTGAAATAACTTACAGCGTGTTTGAGAGTTGTTAGCTCATACAATACACATCCCATAGACCAAATATCACTGAAATGTAAATAGGCATTCAAATTTTATCATTAAAAAAACAAATGCAACACATTCAGTTAGCTAGTTCCTCTTGTGTGATTCCCTTTTAACAAAAAATATTTTATTGATGGACCAATGAAAGCATTGCTGCAAAGAAATTTGTTTCTTTCTTAGTTAAAACTAAAATATTATTTTGAAGCTTATTGCAGCCATTTTGCCACTTGAGATGACTACTAATTTTATGACCTCGTGTTAAGACACATTCGCATTGTCTTAAATTGGGTCGCTTACATTATTTAATTACCAGTTTAATCCAGACTGATGTGATTGGCATTTGATCTTTAAAAACTTTTCCCATAACAAAAAAAAAGTATAGAGAAACCAATTCAATTTAGTATCTTTGCATTTCTTTACATCAATTGCAATCTTCTTTACATTAATTGCAATCTTCTTTATATTAATTGCAATCTTCTTTACATTAATTGCAATCTTAATTATTTTCTTACAAAGATTCAGGGGAGGAAAATCACCATACCTCTTATTATTATAAGGCATATTTTCAACAATTTCAGGTGACAGGTAGTAGGGTGTTCCTATACATGTGTGAGCCAACTGAGCTGTACTGTTGATATCAAGACATCCAATTAAGTTTTTATACAAACAAAAGTACCATGGGACTATTAGATGGACATAACAAAACATTGTAAACAGCCTTTTTCTGCTCCCAAGGTGCTTTTTGTGTGCTTTTTTAGACATTACACAATTATTGAACACAGTTAATTATATGCAGCAATTTAAGAATGATTCAGACTGACTCTCTAAGTTACAAACAAATACGAAAAGTCATAATTCAACACACACAAAAAAAAAACTTTTTGAAAATAATGATGATGGATCTTTTAATTTTGAACAGTAAAAAAGTCATCAAATTAATTTAATTTTTATTAAACAAGAAAAACATACACAAAATGTCTTTAAATTTTATGTTAAGATGAATATAGCAGTTGAAATTTTCATATGGGAATCAGAATATGAAACCAAATTATTTCAACATTCAGTTTTGAAAATAGACTTAACTTACGAGTTCAACACTTTTGCTATTCCAAAATCTCCCAACTGTACAGTTCCAGAGTTTGTTAAGAAAATATTCTGTAACAGTTGTTTCAATGACAAAAATTAATAAGTCAGGAAATACAAGATAAGAAATAATTTTTCTTACAAAACTTAAACAAATTTTAGTTGGATAAACTTCTTACGTGATTTTATGTGCAAATATTGGCCATTCTAGAATTGACCATGAAGTTTATTTTTTTAAACACTGACCTGTGACTTAATGTCCCTGTGTAAAATTTTCCTGTCATGAATGTGTTTTACTGCAAGACACAACTGTACAAACCAGTCCAAGATCTGATTCGTTGAAAAATAAAACAATTGTTTTAAATACATTAAGTATCACTTAAAATAGTTCTTTTTTTTTCTACTTAAACCAGAATAGGTTGTGATTAAATTTCATAAAATATCTTTTTCCCCAAGTTATAAATCAGCTTATTTTATTTAGAGTAATAGACACTGGACAGATTTATTAATTTTATTTTCTTTATATTCGACCATAAATATTCATGTAAGGCTCAAGGACCGGTACAGGCCCATGACCAACCACTTGGGGAACACTGTCCAAGACTATAGTAGAAGTAGTTTGCAACATTTGAGAGAAGTTAGCAACTTCAGAAGATTGCAACAAGCACATCTACAATCAAACTTTAACATTGTAGAATCTGCTAAGAATTTGAAAGAAACTATGATACAAATTAGACAAGTCAGATAGTTACCTGTTCCTCTTGAAATGGTACACCTCGTCTCTCATTGATCTTACCATAGAGATCACCTGAAAATGTACAACAAAGATCAAGTTTTGCCCTGTAAAATTTTAAAGGACTCTTTAAACACAAAGAGTAAAGGGCTGTTAGAAAAAAGAGAAAAGCTTCAGGAATATTTCAAGCAAAATTTGAGTGCAGTTGCCATCGTAAGATGAATATGTAAGATTAGATTTGATTGTTATGCAGTGCACCCCAACCCTTGATATAATAAAGCTGAATAGAAACAAGTTACTAAATTGCACATAACAAAATTACCTCCAGCACAAAAATTCATGACAATGTACAGACTTCCCTTTTCTGAAAGGAAAATGATGCAAGGATCAATCACAAATGACTTAATTATTGCATGAAAAGCATGGACCAAGAATGCATGATTTAATTCTTGCATGTAATGCAATGTTAAGGAATTTTTATTTTTAAAAAATTTCAATCCCACTGTGTTTTTATTTTTTAATTAATGCTTCTGGAGATTAATTGAAGAGGTTAAAAAACTGTAAGGATTATTTTAAAGCTTATGGTTTCTTTACACAACTTATTCGCAACATACCTTCAAAAGATTCAATATAACAAACAATGTTTGGGTGCTTCAGCTGAGCTAAGACTGCTACCTGTTATTTATTAAAAAGGATTTTTTTTTTAAAAACCACAAAGCACAGTCTATCTGATTTTTTTATTTATTTAACAAAATTGTTATTTAAAAAAACTCCGATGTTTGCATACAAACATACAGCTAAGATTTGTATGCTTTCAGGTGTGAAAAGACTAAAACTATGATGTCTTAATCCCTTTGGCTTAAAAGTTTTAAAACATTCTTTAAAAAATATAATAATAGCCATTTCTATACTTTTTACAGTAGTTTTTTTAAGGCGAGGCCTTTTAAATTTACTGTACACCTTTTGTAATTGTTGATTATGAAATTAATTTATCATATGCTAAAAAAATTTGCCACTTTGCCATTCACTGTTTATGTTGTCACAGTCTTAAAATTGTTCACAATTATTTAATATATTTACCTCTTTTCTAGACTCCTCTCGCTCTTTAGCAGTCATCTGTGACATAATTAAAAACATATAATGAGTTAAAGAAATGATTGATAAAAGGACATTGTGCTAAATATTTACATCTTCCCTTTAGGATTACAAAATTTTGTTCAAAAAAATGATATTTATTATCAATCTAACTGATTAACAACCCACTTTTTAATTATCTTTGAGGACCAACTTCACAAAACAGGCATAGTTTAAATATTAGGACAATATCATATACGTTTACCCTCAGGATAAAAAAAATTTTAAAAAATTATAGCAAAAAACTGTAAAACAGAATTAAAGATTGATAGGAAAATATATTGAAAAGAGGATAATTTTTAACTTTTTTATTTCACTATCAATGTTTTGAATACGTGCAAAATTTTCCTTCTTAATAATTTATGGATTAGATAGAAAACTCAACGAGTGTCATAGTTAATTTTGCAATGCAAAATAGATGTGATTGTAATGAAATTTGCAAATAAGATCTCAGCTCTTGTAACTTAATCTGATAGGATATCTAGATGATGGAGTTGAAAAAAGAATGTCATAAAAGTAGAATTTCACTTCCAGCCGCAAAGTTTTGTTTGTGCAACTTTGTATTGAAATGCTGTATTAAGAATAATAAATAGACAAAATGACTAAACCCATTTATTGTTAGTTAAATAAAAAGAACCCTTACTGGCACAACGGTTCTTGCTGAGAATTAATCAAATGGATTTGTAAATTTGGTTTGCTTATCAAAATAGTTTCTATTGAAAGGATTGCCACAATAACTACATTATATAGATACTATTTTAACCTTGCTCAGATTCTATGTTAAGATGGCCTCCAGTACCTAAACTTTGGGCGAAAGAATATTTTGAATACACCTATAAGATTTAACATTTCTTTTGACCAAATGCTGAATTTATTGCGCCGCCATTTTTAAAAAATTTTTTCCGAAATCCTAACAAAGTGCAGGCAAACCATACAGGTTTGCATACATGCAATGCTTTACTATAAATTATGCATATTATTCACCCTCATCTTCCAACAAAATTTTTAAATGTTCGATTTAGTAGTTGGTTTTTTAATTCTTTACCTTTGTTATATTTATTTCCTTTATTACATATTGCCTTGCAGAGTCTTTTCTTTTGACGAGAATAGCTTTTCCAAAAGCTCCCTCCCCAATCTGTCTCACCCGTGCATATTTATTCATGATGATGACAGCTCATGTACACTATACAGACTATAAAAAGATTTAAAATTACAATAAAAGTAAAACAGTTTAATACAAATTGAATGAAAATAGCTTATTTAATTAATTAGTTTTACTATAATAGAACATATTTTTGTCAAATTTTTGCATGATGATAAAGATTTTAAATTGGGATATGGTGGGCATTTAAAAAGAACTAAATCCATTGCTAGTTTTAACCAAAGTTGGAGCAAAGCTGAGTTTAAATCGTGATGTTATGTTTAGCTCATAATTTTTAAACAATTAAAGAAGGCTATCAATTCATAAAAAATGACATCACAAAATATTCACACTATAAGACTATAGTGAAGTGACTATAGTCTATTCTATAGTCTTTAATAGTATAGTATTACAAGTACAGTGCTATAGTTTATATAGCTATTATATATGGCCCCTATGCCTATGACTACTATGGCTATATATGGCTTTGGAAGGAAAGGAATAGGGGGGTCATCAATTTAGAGCTTTGGATTATGAGTGTGTCTAAAAGTAGTGATGAATTTGTCACAAATAAGGGGACAAGGGAGGATGAGTGAGAGTGGGGTATAATTTATAATAATATCTTTCAAAATTGCATTCGGACTACAGGCTACCACAATAAAGACAATTTTTTTGGATGGCCCCTTCTAAGAAAGTCAATTAACATTATATAATTCTATAGGCTTACTGTTGCAGGATTGATTTTTTTCTTAATATTCTTTTTATGTATTAGTATTATAAGTATTTATCTTTTAATTATAAGAATCACTGACTGCTTAATCTCAAACTCAAAGTTAATCCAGCAGCATTATTTTAATTTGATAACAAACCTCAAATAACAGGTATCAAATTTTTTACAATTTAAAATTTAATAAATAGTTATGCGCAAAGACACACAAGGATTAGGAAGTGTCAAATTCCTGCAAATATAAATTAAAATATTAAAAATATCAACTGGAGGTTGTGATTGCTGATTAATTGATTGATTGACCGATTATTGAAATTAAAATTAATTCAGAAATATTTTTAGCCACAAAGAAAAAGCCTTTTCCTCTTTTAACTTGTTAATTTGCATAATGGCATAAAAATTCCAAAAGCATTTCTAATGCCAATATTATTTTTTAAGACACATACTTCAAGATATAAAGAAATATAGTTTACGTCCTTAATAATTTCATGCTTTTTCTTCATAGAAACCCGATTGTTTGGGTATTTCTTCCGCCATTTTGAAAAATATGATGTCATGAATTTTTAAAAAAATGGATTAGATGACAATGATCAAATTTTATTTATGGGATACATTTATTTGCTTTCTTTTCAAACTCTTTTTCTATTTGACCATTTAATCATTGGAAATAAAAATAATTTATATTTATCACTCATTAGAATAAGTTTTAGTTCAAGTGAATTTTCAAAGTGTTTAAATTATTTTTCTTTTCAAATTCAAAGAACTTGTTTGTTTGTTATTTTTAAAAGGGGGGGGGAGAATATCCATAAATGACGTCACGCAAATTTTGCCGATTGTTACCCCTCCCCACCTCCAATCATCACAAAAGGTTGGACCCCCACCTTTTAAAAATAACGTCACAAACCTCTGCACCCCCTTAACCCCCACCCCCCAACAAAAAAAAATCCCTTTGTCCACTAGCCACTATCCTTCATAAACCATTCAAAATTCACACACCCCCCCTCCCCCCAAGAAATAGACTAATATTGTACCTTGTTAGAAACATTTTTCTAGAACAGTGGTTCTTTAACAGGCGTGAAAGCACCACGATGGTGCGGAAAACCCAGAAAATTGTATTTGCAGAATTTCAAAACTCAGCTGCTAGGCTAGTTCTAAAGGCAAAGAAACGTGATCACGTCACTCCACTACTCCACTCCCTTCATTGGCTCCCTATACAGGCACGCATTGACTACCAGTTGTCTGTTCTCTGTCACAACTTTTTCTCGGATTCCTGCCCTTCCTATCTAACCGAACCTCTTTCTGTCTATTCACCCCTTCGACAGCTTCGCTCATCCGCAGACAAGCGTATTATTTCCGCTCTCAAGACACACACTAAAACATATGGTGAACGATCTTTTTCTTTCTGCACCCCTAAACAATGGAATTCTTTGCCACTACACATCCGCAATATTCCAACCATCCAGGCCTTCTAAAATGCACTCAAAATACATCTCTTTAAACTATACTACCCTGACTGATTCCCCTCCTCTGACCAATAAACGATCAGGCATGGTTTGCCATGTAAAAGTTCTGGGGTGGGGTGGGTGAATATACATTTGTTTTTTGTTGTTTTAGTTACACGCTGTTCTTTATTTCATAAATGTATTTTATTTTCATGTCATAATTATGTCTCGTTTGCTAATATTTTTATGTACAGCGCGGTGAACCCAGCCCTAGGCTGGGGTACCGCGCTATATAAGACCACTAATTATTATTATTATTATTTGCTGCCATTGCTAGTTGTTGCTGCCTTTCTTTAAAAAAAAACAAACAATTTTATGCAATTTGATTACCAGCAAAATGTTGTTCTTGTGAATTTTATTTGCACCTTATTTGTATTGTTTTGTGTTTGTTTGTTTGTTGCTGTTGTTTATATTAAGTAAATTAAAGAGATAAAACTACAATAACTTAATTTTAAATTATTTTCATACTTTAAATTTTGTTACAAAATAATTTATACGAGTGGTGGAAAGAGGGTTGGGGAAGGTTTTGAACCTGAATGGGGCTGAAGCGCTTCAAAAAGGTTAAGAATCCCTGCCCTAGAGCATTTACTGAGATCCCCTCCCTTCCCTGTCAAACATTTTTCGTTCCATTCACATCACGTGTTAGCCCTTATTCTATGACTCTCGTCTCCATATTTCGATATAAATTCTTACATCTGTCTCTGACACTACACCTCAATTCTCCTCCTCTGTGGCTTCTTGTAACTTGATCAGAGGCCATTTTTTCGGATCTCGCTTAACTGTACTGATTCTCTCAGTGATCGTAGTTTTAAAATAAAATAATTGTAATTGTTGCATAAAAAAATGATAACAATGTTTTTAATTTAGTGTACGTGCAATTTTTCCCCACTTTTAATGTGACGTCACATTACTTAAACCACCCCCTTTCCCCTCTTCACACATCGTCACACAAATGCCCCCCCCCCCCCCACTCTCTCTAGACGCTTGACGTCATTTATGGATCACCCCTTAGAAGTTAGAAATTAAAAACGGCTAGTGAGAAGCAATTCCGTATATCTCCACAAAATTCCATGGCTGCTTCTGTCCACTTATAACTGACCCTCCACCCCCTCTCTGTAAATGTCCACGACTATATGAACATACGCTCAAATTTTATTATGATGTAACTATAAAACTGTTTCATTCTTTTTTATTGTTTAAAAAAAAACATAAAGACTGTGAATTGGAGTGGAGTACTTACAGTACCGGTACATATTAAATTCGATCTACATGCCTACAGATCAAATGTGCCACATTTTTAAAACTTACTTTTGACATGTCGGAGACTGCAATCAAGTTGTAAGACAAGGAAATAAGGAACGCATTTTAAGTGAAAACTTGAAAATAGACATCACAAAACAATAAACTTATTTCACTAAATTTTCAGCCCAAAAAAAAAAAAAGAAAAAAGTATGATACATAGAGGGAGGCTTCTCCCCAAACACAGAGCGCTTCCTGATCTAAACACTGAGATGCATTGTTTGCCATGCGCCAGCCTAAGACGCCACTTTTAGCTCACTTTTAAGCCCCCCCCCTCCCCCACACATTTCTTTTCAAACAAAACAAACACTATAGGTCTAAATAGCACATCATTAATTTAATACAAGAATATTTACCAATGTTGCACGCCAACAACCGATGTTGAAAGTCTAATCCACCAAGACGTGATGTAGCGTGCCGAAGCAACAACAAAAAAGTGTGGGGGGGGGGGGGGCAATCTTTGAGATCTTTTACAATTCGGGTTTCCAGATCAGTAGTTTTTTAACATTGGATTTTCGTACTAGCTTATTGGGTACTCTGTAGATGCATTAGATTCTTATAATAAAAAAAAGTGGGGGGGGGGGGGGGGGCAATCTTTGAGATCTTTTACAATTCGTGTTTCCAGATCAGTAGTTTTTTAACATTGGATTTTCGTACTAGCTTATTTGGTACTCTGTAGATGCATTAGATTCTTATAAATATATAATAAATAATAGTTTTAGTTTCTGCTCTAGCGGCTTAGCGGTACGCGAAATTTTGTTGTCCCCCGTTTCAATGATTCGCTGCCGATCAAGGGTTGAAACCCCCTGATCGAATTGACTAATATCTAAAAATAGACGGTGGGGTATTTTATTGATCTGCAATGCCTTAGCAATCATTACTAAGCACTGACACATTGCGTATATATACCTATAATATATTACATTCTTGTGAACACGTAGTGTTGCACTCAATGTTGTCAGTTTTTAAAATCGTGTGGGACTGGCAATTTTCTAGTGTTAATTTATTGTTATTCATATTTTTTTAAAATTATCAACTGTTTGAGAGCTTTAGATTTTTTATTTTAACATTCATGCTAACCAAAACACTGACCACGATAACATATCGTTGAAAGCAATAACATTGACAGCGATAACAGTGGCAACTATAACTATAAATATACCCACTAACACGGACCGCTATAGCATTGACCGCTAGCACTGGCTGCTACTTAGAGGAGTCAGCCTTGTTTTTAAACCTTGCGGTCACGATTTTTGTATGTACTTGCTGTTTCTTGAGTTCCAATGTCGATGACCTTAATTCACGCTGTTTCGAACGCCGTACCTGTGTGATACTGGGTGTTCAACAAGTGCTGGACTGAATTTAAAAGTATGAGCTTGAGATGAGCTCTAGTGACAGAAAAGGTCGTGAAACCATGTCAGAAGCGGCGCCCAAAAGTAAAATTCAGTTTGTTCCAATGAAGAGAATTTTTAAGATGGCCCAACCAAGATCGAACGACAAGTGCTCAAACTGGGTAGCGACAGAAAAGGTGAGTGATTCAATGCAAAATAGCGAAATAATTGTCAAATCCCGCTATCATCAAACTAGTTTTAAACGAAAGAAACGTTTGCTTAGTAACGGAAGCATGGCTAAATCATAACGGCGTTGTTTTTTCATCACCTAACCCTTCACTGTCCTCCCCACCCATCATCCTCTGTCCTTCTTCTTGACCCATGATGTCTTTCCCCATTCCTTCCTCTTGATCACAACCCATGTCTCTCCTTATTCCTTCTTCTTAAACACAAACAATTTCTCTCCCCATTCTATATACTTTGCCAAAACTTCTCACCTGAACCCACTTACACCCACTTGCAACGTCCACAGCATCCTTTTTCACCTCACTGATCCCACCATCACACTAAGCTCCACATTCCTGAATTTCTTCCTTAACAACAACACCTCCAGATAGACCACCCCTACACCGTTTCAACTGGCTTTACTTTTAGAAAAAGATTACATACTTAAAAGCAAGTGTCGCTCAGATCCAAACGGACCTGTGATGCACCCGCCTTGCCCTGCCTCATTTTCTGTCTCAGGTTGATCCTGTAGTATAGGCCAAAACGTGCCAGACGTTTTATAGCCATTTTAATTGTTTCTATAGTATAGTAGTTACTCTCCTAGTGTCTCATTTTTATTTTACTTAGTTTACATGTTTTTAATAATTGTAAAGCGCTTAGAGCTTTATGGTAAGCGCTATATAAAAATGTCTAAATAAATAAATAAATAAATAAATATCGGAACGAGTAGGTTCCGCATATTGCGGATTGACTGGGCTATGGTCAGACGTTGTTGCTGATGATGTATGTGATTTGATGCATTTTCTTGGGAGTTTTTCTGTTCTGTCAAGTTCTGAAACTCTGTGCACACAGAAACATCTTTGTAGCCTGCTCCCCAGTTCCAAGTTATGCTGCATTTTGTATCAAGGTCCTTTTTCATATAACCTCCTGCACCGTCCTACGGTAAATAGTATTGCCTTCTCCCTTCTTATGTCTAGTGGCTCTACGTTGGCTATGACTTCCACGGCAGCCGTGGATATAGTTTTGAATGCACCACATATGAATCTCAGTGCCTGATTCTGGATTCGGCCCAATTTTCCCAATGCAGTTTTGCTTGTAAAGGATTGGACGGGCATCCTGTAATCCACCATCGACCTTACACTACTCAGGGAAAGAGCTCTTAGTGGGCCTGCATG